CAACCCTGGTGGAACCACCTACTACAATCCATCGGTCAAGGGCCGGTTCACGATCTCCAGGGACAACGGGCAGAGCTCGGTGACGCTGACTATGAACAACCTCAAGGACAAGGATTCCGCCACCTATTTCTGTGCCAAGAGTGCTGGTGCTGGTGGGGCTGAAAGTGCTCATCATATTGACGATGGCCTTGCTGTCCCCATCCCCATCTCCGTGTCCCCCCCCGTCCCCATTGCCCAGACCCTTCCCCTACACCCCCAGCCCACACCCAGCCCTTGACCATTGATCCCAACCTTGCTCTGCCTCGGCCCCAATTCTCACCCGCTGACCCCAAACTACAACTCCTGACTCCAAATCTCCTCTTTTTGCCTCAAACCTTTGCTCTGAAGGTCGGGGATTTAGGCCGATGGTCCCGATTTTGGGACAAAAGTTGAGGATTCGTGTCAGCAGGTGTGGCTGGGAGCGCAAAGTTGGGTTTTGGGGCAGAATCGGGCGATTTTGGTGAAAACTTAGTTGGATTTGGGGCAGAACCAGTTTGGGGGTTTGGCTCCATGGTTGGTGTCGTGGAACTGGAGGAGATCTGGGACGAAGGGTCAAGAATGCGGTGAAGGGCTGAGACCCAGGGGAAGGGTCTGGGGATTGGGGAGAGGAGAGGACACTGAGATGGGGGCTTGGATCCACCATGGATGTCATCCAAATTAGCACCAGGACACACATAACCAGCATAAGAAAGTTTGGCGCAGAAATAGGATGCGGAATCCTTGTCCTTGAGGTTGTTCATGCTCAGCGCCACCGAGCTCTGCCCGTTGTCCCTGGAGATCGTGAACCGGCCCTGCACCGATGGCGCGTAGTAGGCGCTGCCACAGTGTTGATCCCCGCGAGCCACTCCAGCCCCTGCCCGGGTCTCTGGCGGATCCAGTTCATGTCGTAGCTCCCGAAACTGAACCCGGACCCTCGGCAGAGGAGGCGCAGAGACCCCCCGGGGGGCTGGAGGTCCCCACCGCACTCCAGCAGGGTCATGGCCGCCCGGAGCTCTGCGGGACAAAGGGGAGATGGGGATGGGGCCAAATCTCAACCCTTGACTGAAATTCTGATTTTTAGCCCCAAATTCTGACACCTGGGCCTTCTCATCCTTCTCCAATGTGGGTCACGACTCTTTTCCAACTGGCCAAACCCACTTTAAAGCCCTGGACCAATCAGGTTTCTCATCCCCATCTCTACTTTGTCCCGCAGGGCTCTGGGCGGCCGTGACCCTGCTGGAGTGCGGGGGGCACCTCCAGCCCCCCGGGGGGTCCCTGCGCCTCCTCTGCCGAGGGTTCGGGTTCTGTTTTGGGGGTTTTGGCATGCACTGGGTGCGCCACAGACCCGGGCAGGGGCTGGAATGGCTTGCAGGGATCAGCAGTGGCGCTTACACCAACGACGCGCCATTGGCGCAGGGCTGGTGCAGGATCTCCAGGGACAACGGGCAGAGCTCGGTGACGCTGACCATGAACAACCTCAAGGACGAGGATTCTGGATCCTATTTCTGTTCCAAAAGAGTGGTGACACTTTTTGTGCAGCTGCTGCTGCTCCTGATAAAACTGATGCAATCACTGGACCCCTGTCTGCAACCCCGTTCCCAGACCCTTCCCCAAATCCCAACCCCTGACCCCATTCCTGACCCTCTGTCCCCGCCCTGGTCTGGCTCTGCCCCACATGTCCCCTCTGGGCCACACTCAGTTCCCTCGTTCCTCGAATGTCACCGAAATGTCAGGATTTGGGCCCAAAGTTAAGATCAGGGATCAAGAATTCAAATTTGGCCTAAAATTCCCGATCTGAGGCCAATGGCGCAGATGTGGGTAGGTGGCCGTTACTTTGTGTCCGCAGGGGAGATTTGGGGTGAAAATGGAAAAGTCTGGGGGCAATGGTTGGGATTGGAGGGACGAGGCTGAGCTCAGGGTGAAACCGGCCCTGATTTGGGGCCAGGAGCTGAGATTTGGGGGCAGGAGCTGAGATTTGGGGCCAAAAGCTGAGATTTGGAGCCAAGAGCTGAGATTTGGGGCCAGGAGCTGAGATTTGGGGCCAGAGCAGGGCAGGGTTGGGACACGGGGACAGGAATGGGGTCAGGGGCTGGGGTTTTGGGGAAGAGTCTGGGGAATGGGGACGGGAGGGGACACAGGGATGGGGCCGAAACGTCAAACATCAGCAGCATAAGGAGCAGCACCAGCACCAGTGCGTTTGGCACAGAAATAGGATCCGGAATCCTCGTCCTTGAGGTTGTTCATGGTCAGCGTCACCGAGCTCTGCCCGTTGTCCCTGGAGATCGTGAACCGACCCTTGAACGATGGCGTGCATCCGGTCCAACCACCATTGTAGCTGATACTCGCAACCCACTCCAGCACATGCCCGGGTCTCTGGCCCACCCAGAACATGTCGTAGCTTCCAAAACTGAACCCGGACCCTCGGCAGAGGAGGCGCAAGGACCCCCCGGGGGGCTGGAGGTCCCCCCTGCACTCCAGCAGGGTCACGGCCGCCCGGAGCCCTGCGGGACAAAGGGGAGAGGGGGACGAGGCCAAAGCTGAACCCTTGACCGAAATCCTGAACCTTGGCCCCGATTTGGGACCCTTGGGCCTCCTCTGCTGCAGCGCCCAGAGGCTTAGCTGCCCTCTGCCAAACACAGATGTTCACAATGACCAAAACCAGGAACTTTCTGTTTCCTTCCCTGCCCCGGCCGGGCCCCGGCAGCTGCCGGAGAGGAAGTGGGGGGAGGCTGCGGAGCCCCAAAATCGCAGCGTCTTCTCCTCCCTCCCTCCCTCGCTCCCACCTGAGGCTTCACTTCTCCCTCAGCGGCCTCGGTGTCTGGGGCTGCTCCTTGGGGCTGGGCTGGAATCCTCTCTGCGAGCTCTGGAGAATAAACCCCCTTTTTTAACCAAAAACACATGAAATTTTGGGGAGATGAAACTGTTGAAATTGATCTCGAGCCAAGGGCTCCATGCTGAGAGAAGCAGATGGGTGCAAGGGTGGAGTCACCTGGAATGTTCCATCGGTCAAGGGCCAGGTCAGCACGGCCAGGGACAGGGGAAAGGTCTGGAGATAGCTGAGGTCACGGCGATGGGGACAGGGCCAAAAGCACTGGCAGTGTCAGCATTACCACCAGAAATACGCTTGGCATAGAAATATGATCCGGAATCCTCGTCCTTGAGGCTGTTCATGGTCAGCGTCACCGAGCTCTGCCCGTTGACCCTGGAGATCGTGACCCGGTCCTTGACCGACGGCCCGTAGAAGGTGTTGACACCATCAGCTTTGATCCCAGCAATGAATTCAGGTGCCTGCCCGGGTCTCTGGCGGATCCAGTGCATTCCATAATTCCCAAAATCGAACCCGGACACTCGGCAGAGCAACCTCAGGGACCCCCCGGGGGGGCTGGAGGTCTCCCCCGAACTCCAGCAGGGTCATGGCCGCCCGGAGCCCTCCGGGACAAAGGGGAGATGGGGATTAGAAACCTGATTGGCTGTGGGCCTCAAAGTGGGTGTGTCAAACTGGAAAATTGGGCGGGACCCACCTGAGAGGGGCAGCAGGAGCAGGACAACTAGGATGGGGTGGTCCAAAGGTCCCAGTTTGGAGCCAAGAGTTAGGATTTGGGTCAAGGTTTGAGCTTTGGCCTCATCCCCATCTCCCCTTTTTCCCTCAGGGCTCCGGGCAGCCGTGACCCTGCTGGAGTGCGGGGGGAAAACTCCAGCCCCCCGGGGGGTCCCTGCACCTCCTCTGCCGAGGGTCCAGGTTCGATTTCGGAAATTATGGAATGTTCTGGATCCGCTAGAAATCTGGGAAGACACTGGAATACCTCGCAAGTGTCAATGGGGTTGGCATCACCCACCACGCGCCATCAATCAATGGTTGGTTCACGATCTCCAGGGACAATGGGCAAAGCTCGGTGACGCTGACCATGAACAACCTCAAGGACGAGGATTCCACCGTTTATTTCTGTGCCAAACGTAGCAATAATGATTATGGTTTTTCTGGTCCTGCTCTTATTGGCGACAATTCTGTCAGCGGACCACCCCCATGTTGGTCCAAAAATGTCTCCAATGCCCAGCGATCCTTCCCCGACATCCCAGCCCTTTGTGTCAAATCTTAACCATTTCCCCCAAACTTTGCCCCATCCTTCCCCTAGTCTCGATTGTCTCCGCAGTTTTGCCCATTTCACCCAAATCTCCCCCAGCTCCCCAGGCCCTGATTGGAGGAGGCCTGAACTGGAGCCCAAGGGTGAAGGTTTGGGGCCAATGGTTGAGTTTTGGGGCAGGAGCAGGGGAGGGTTTGGGGTCAGTTCTGACCATTGGGGCAAATGGGGGAGATTTGGGACAAAGGGTCAAGGCCTGAGGTTCAGGGGAAGGGTCTGGTTTTGGGAGAGGAAGGAAGTCAAAATTGAGGAATCAGAAATAATCACCATGACCAACATCATCACAATCAATGTCTTTACCAGCAGCAGGACCACAACAACCATCCCAACTTTTGGCACAGAATTAGGATCCGGAATCCTCGTCCCTGAGGTTGTTCATGGTCAGCGTCACCGAGCTCTGCCCGTTGTCCCTGGAGATCCTGAACTGACCCTGGACTGACGGCGTGTAGTAGATGGTGCCACCAGTGTTGCTGATTTAGGCGACGAATTGCAGCCCCTGCCCGGGTCTCTGTCGGACCTATTGTAGGGCAAAACTGCCAAAACTGAACCCGGACCCTCGGCACAGCAACGTCAGGGAACCCCCGGGTGTCTGGAGGTCCCCCTTGCACTCCAGCAAGATCACAGCCACCCGGAGCCCTGCAGGACAAAGGGGAGATGGGGATGAGAAACCTGATTGGTTCAGGGCCGCAAACTGGGAGGGTCAAGCTTGATAAAGGATTGCGACCCACCAGGGAGGAGGATGATGAACTCCAAGGATCCCAGTTTGGGGCCCAGAATCAGGACTTGGATCAATGTGGAGCTTTGGCCCCATCCCCATCTCCCCTTTGTCCCGCAGGGCTCCGGGCGGCCGTGACCCTGCTGGAGTGCGGGAGCGACCTCCAGCCCCCGGGGGGTTCCCTGCGCCTCCTCTGCCGAGGGTCCGGGTTCAGTTTTGGTGGTTATGCCATGCACTGGATCCGCCAGAGACCTGGGCAGGGGCTGGAATGGGTTGCGGGGATCAGCAGCGGTGCTGGTTCCTACACCGGCTACGCACCGTCAGTCAAGGGCCGCTTCAGGATGTCCAGGGACAACGGGCAGAGCTCAGTGACGCTGACCATGAACAACCTCAAGGACGACGATTCCGGATCCTATTTCTGTGCAAAAGAGAGTGTTGCTGTTAACCCGGCTGCTGCTTATATTGACCGTGTCGGTGGTGGCACCACCCCTGTCTGAGCCCCCCCTGTCCCCAATCCCAGACTGTTCCCCCCCAAACCTCAGCCCTCTACCCTTTGTCCCAAATCTCCCCCATTTGCCCCAATGGTCAGCACTGACCCCAAACCCTCCCCTGCTGCTGCCCCAAAACTCAACCATTGGCTCCAAACCTTCAAGCCTGGGATCCAGGTCAGGCCTTGCTTTCCAAGAATTCCTATTTCTGCCTGTGCCAGCTCAGCCAATCAGGGCCTGGTGAGATGGCGAAGGTTTGGGTGAAATGGGCAAAATTGGGGGAAAGTCCAGAGTTGGGGCAGCAGGGGCAGAGTTTGGGGGAAAATGGCTGAGATTTGAGGAAAATGGCTGAAATTTTGGGGAAGGATCACTGGGGAATGCAGACATTTTGTGACCATCATGGGGGCTGCCACTGCAGGAACTGTCGCCAAAACCATCAGCAGTGTTACCAGCACCACCATCAAAACGTCTGGCACAGAAATAAACAGCGGAATCCTCGTCCTTGAGGTTGGTCATGGTCAGTGTCACCGAGCTCTGCCCGTTGTCCCTGGAGATCGTGAACCAGCCCTTGACCGATGGTGAGTAGTTGGCGCCTCCACCAGTGCTGCTGATACTGGCGATGAATTCCAGCCCCTGCCCGGGTCTCTGGCGCATCCATCCCAGTCCAAATTGTCCGAAACTGAACCCGGACCCTCGGCAGAGGAGGCGCAGGGATCCCCCGGGGGGCTGGAGGTCCCCCCCGCACTCCAGTAGGGTCACGGCCGCCCGGAGCCCATCCCGAAACCATCCCGGTTATTGCCAAACTACCCTGGTTTGCCCCCAAATCTCTACCAGAGATCTCCTGTATAATAAGTTGCCTCAAATCGTTCAATTCTCCCCTATCCACTTGTTGGTAATTGGAAACCTCCTCCTGATTCTTGTCCACTGATGGTGCAATTAAAATCTCATTAATGACTGCCAAAATCCCCCGGGACCCCACCCCAGCACAACACGGCCAATTCCTCGAGTTCCCTCCGGCTCCTGGCCCTGCTGCTCCTGCTGCCCCTCCCAGGTGGGCCCCGCCCCTTTTTCCAAAAGCCACACCCCTTGCCCCCTTCTGGAGCAATCATATTTCTCATTTTTGATGATCTCCCCTTTGTCCCGCAGGGCTCCAGGCGGCCGTGACCCTGCTGGAATGCGGGGGAGACCTCCAGCCCCCCGGGGGGTCCCTGACGTTTCTGTGCCGCGGTTCCGGGTTCAATTTCAGGAATGTTGACATGTACTGGATCCGCCAGAGACCCGGGCAGGGACTGGAATGGCTTGTAGGGATTTGGAGCGGTGGCGGCGCCTTCTACGCGCCATCAGTCAGGGGACACTTCACTGCATCCAGGGACAACGGGCAGAACTCGGTGACGCTGACCATGAACAACCTCAAGGACTAGGATTCCGGATCCTATTTCTGCGCCAGATCTGTTCCTGGTTACTATAATTATGGTGCTGGTTATACTGACATTTAATGTCACCCCATCCCCAACCAGCACTAGGAGCAGCAGTATAACTGTCAGCACCCCTGGCACAGAAATAGGATCCGGAATCCTCGTCCTTGAGGTTGTTCATGGTCAGCGTCACTGAGCTCTGCCCGTTGTCCCTGGAGATCGTGAACCGACCCTGGACTGAATTTGCGATGTAAAAATTGAAACCAGTCTTGTTCACTTGATCAACGTATTCCAGCCCCTGTCCGGGTCTCTGTCGAAACCAGCCTATCCAGAAATTGCCAAAATCGAACCCGGACCCTCAGCAGAGGAGGTGCAGGGACCCCCCGGGGGGCTGGAGGTCCCCCCGAACTCCAGCAGGGTCACGGCCGCCCGGAGCCCTGCGGGACAAAGGGGAGAAGTGTGCAGAGCTTTGTGGACAGCTGGTTGGCTGTTAAAGGTCACGTCGACATAATGCCGCTGGTCAGTCATGAAGGGGACAAGTACAGGAGCAAGCAGTCAGTGTCCAATGACAGGCAAGGACATTGTGCCCTTGGTGCAGCAGCAGGATAGGAGAAAACATCTTTGGCAAAAATACGAAGAGAAGTTTAAATAAAATATACACAAGGATGCAGAAGGAGGCGCAGTTGGCTGATGAGTAACCGACCAATGGTGAGCCCGCCTTTGCAATATGCATGAGCCCCATTAACACCGATATAAAGATGCATGCCTACCAATAAAGATTTGAGACTTTCTGATCACTCATATGGCGTGCCGCATTTCTCCCGCCCATCCCAGAAATGGGGACGGCCAAAGCTACACCCTTGACCCCAAAGTCCGAGCTGTTGGCCGCAGGTTGTGACAATTTGTTCTTCTCCTCCTGCTCCTGGTCACCCTCCCAGGTGGGTCTCATCCCTTTTTCCAGCTGGCCACACCCACTGCAGGCCCACAGCCAATCAGGTTTCTCGTCCCCATCTCCCCTTTGTCCCGCAGGGCTCCGGGTGGCCGTGACCCTGCTGGAGTGCAGGGGGGATCTCCAGCCCCCCGGTGGGACTCTGCTCCTCCGGTGCCGAGCCTCTGGATTCGACTTTGGCAATTCTGAAATGGTTTGGATCCGCCAGAGACCCGGGCAGGGGCTGCAATGAGTCGCGGGAATCAACAAAGACGGTTCCAGCACTGGCTACACGCCATCGGTCAATGGCCAGTTCAGGATATCCAGGGAGAACTGGCAGAGCTTCATAACCCTGACCATGACCAACCTGCAGGACGAGGATTCCGGATCCTATTTCTGCACAAAAACTGTCAGTGCTGGTTGGGGTGCTGCTGTTTGACCCCATCCCAGTCAGTGCATCCCCACCTGTCCCCATTCCCCAGACCCTTCCCCAGCTCCCAGCCCCTGACCCAGCCTGTGACCGTTTCTCCATTTCCCTTTCCCTTCTCCGGCCCCAAACCCCAACCCTTGGCCATTGATCTTCCCCCAAACTCTGCCCCAAAGGTCAGCGCTGGGCCCGGGGCTGGGGACACGAAATCAGTCACCGAGAGCAGGGACGAGCCCTGGGATCTGGGGGGAGGGTCTGGGATTTGGGGACAATTAGGGACACAACAAAGGGGGCAGGGCTAAATGCTCCATAACCAGCACCAGCAGCGTCACTACGATCAGCAACAACAGCATAATAACTCTCAGGAGTTTTGGAACAGAAATAGGATCCAAAATCCTCGTCCTTGAGGTTGTTCATGATCAGCGTCACCGAGCTCTGCCCGTTGTCCCTGGAGATGCTGACTCGGCCGCTGAACAATGACGGGTGTCTGGTGTCTCCATCATAGTCAATCCCTGCAATGTATTCCAGGCCCTGCCCAGGCCGCTGGCGGATCCACATCAGACTGGTTCGTCCGAAACTGGCCCTGGCCCCTCTGCCAGGATCCCTGGGCTGAACTCGCCCAACTCTGCCCAAATCTGCGCTGCTGGGCCCGAGCAGCCACCACTGACACAAATCCCCAATTCTGACCCAAATCAAGGCCCCAGGCCTCACACACCGACATTCAGAGCAAAGTTTTAGGGCACAAAGAGGAGATTTGGGGTCAGGAGTTGTGGTTTGGGGTCAGCGGGTGAGAACTGGGGCCAAGGCAGAGCAAGGTTGGGATCAATGGTCAAGGGCTGGGTGTGGGCTGGGGGTTTAAGGGAAGGGTCTGGGGAAGGCAGACAGGGGGGGACATGGGGATGGATGTTGCACTGTCACTACCAGAAGGATTACCAGCATCAGCATCACCATCCTTGCCACAGAAATAGGATCCGGAATCCTCGTCCTTGAGGTTGTTCATAGTCAGCGTCACCGAGCTCTGCCCATTGTCCCTGGAGATCCTGAACCGGCCCTTGACCAATGGCGCGCAGCTGGTGCTGCCACAACTGCTGTAGATGCCTGTGACGTATTCCAAAACCTGCCCGGGTCTCTGACGGATCCAGAACATCCCAAAATTCCCAAAACTGAACCCGGACCCTCGGCAGAGGAGGTACAGGGACCCCCCGGGGGGCTGGAGGTCCCCCCCGGGGGCTGGAGGTCCCCCCCGCACTCCAGCAGGGTCATGGCCGCCGGAAGCCCTGCGGAAAAATGGGGAGATGGGGATGAGGCCAAAGCTCAACCCTTGACCTCAATCCTGACCCTTGGTCCCAAACGGGGACCCTTGGAGTTCGTCATCCTCCTCCCAGGTGGGTCCTGCCCCGTTTTCCCGATGGCCACACCAGCTTTAAATCCCTCGACCGATCAGGTTTCCCATCCCTATCTCCCCTTTGTCCCGCAGGGCTCCGGGCAGCCGTGACCCTGCTGGAGTGCGGGGGGGACCTCCAGCCCCCCGGGGGGTCCCTGCGCTTCCTCTGCCGAGGGTCCGGGTTCCATTTCGGCAATTTTGGGATGGGCTGGATCCGCCAGAGGCCTAGGAAGGGGTTGGAGTTTGCGGCGAGTGTCACCAGTGATGGCGCCACTCCCAGATACGTGCCATCGTTCAAGGGCCGGTTCACGATCTCCAGGGACAACGGGCAGACCTCGGTGACGCTGACCAAGAACAACCTCAAGGAGGAGCATTCCACCATTTATTTCTGTGCCAAACTTTGCAATGTTTATGCTGGCAATGCTATTGATGCTGGAATCAATCCAGATAGTGACCATGATGGTCAAAAAATGTTTCCAATCCCAGAGATCCTTCCCCAAAATCCTGGCTCTTTTTCTCACATCTCAGCCATTTTCCCCCAAACTCCACTGTCACTTCCCCAGTTCCCAATTTCCCCCCAATTTTCCCCATTCCTCCCCAGTTTGTCCCTTCCCCTCCGTCCCAGTGTGGAACGGGAATCGCTCCAGGGCCCTTTGCACACAAAGCTTTTTGTGCAGCCGGCGCTCTGCCGCAGCGCCCCGAGGCTGAGCTGCCCTCTACCAAACACAGATGTTCACCATGAACAAAACCAGGAACTTTCTGTTTCCTTCCCTGCCCCGGCCGGGCCCCGGCAGCCTCCGGGGAGGAAGTGGGGGGAGGCTGCGGAGCCCCAAAATTGCGGCGTCTTCTCCTCCCTCCCTCCCTCGCTCCAACCTGGGGCTTCACTTCTCCCTCAGCGGCCGCGGTGTCTGGGGCTGCTCCTTGGAACTGGGCTGGAATCCTCTCTGGGAGCTCTGTACATGGTGACGATGCTGGTGGTGGCCCCAAACCCCCATCCTTGGCTCCCCAAATGTCCCAAAATCTCCAAATCCTTGCCCAAATCCAAACCCTTGACCCCATTCTTGACCTTCTCCCCAGTGTCCACCATCATTGCCCCAACATTCAATTTTCCCCCAGTTTTTCCAATTTCACCCAAATCTCCCCCAGCTCCCTGGGCCCTGATTGGAGGAGGCCTGAACTGGAGGCCAGGGGTGAAGATTTGGGGCCAATGGTTGAGTTTTGGGGCAGGAGCAGGGGAGGGTTTGGGGTCAGTGCTGACCATTGGGGCAAATGGGGGAGATTTGGGACAAAGGGTCAAGGGCTGAGGTTTGTGGGGAGGGTCTGGGTTTGGGGACTGGGAGGCTCAAAATAAAGAACTCAGAAAAAAGCCACCATGACCAACATCATCCCAATCAATGTCTTTACCAGCAGCAGGACCACAACAACCAGCCCAACTTTTGGCACAGAAATAGGTGGCAGAATCCTTGTCCTTGAGGTTGTTCATGGTCAGCGTCACCGAGCTCTGCCCGTTGTCCCTGGAGATCGTGACCCGGCTCTTGACCGATGGCGCGTAGTAGATGTAAGCACCAGTGTTGCTGATGTAGGCGACGAATTGCAGCCCCTGCCCGGGTCTCGGTCCAACCCAGTACATGGCAAAATTCCCAAAATCGAACCCGGGCCCTCGGCAGAGGAGACGCAAGGACCCCCCCGGGGGGCTGGAGGTCCCCCCCGCACTCCAGCAGGGTCACGGCTGCCCGGAGCCGTGCGGGACAAAGGGGAGATGGGGATCAGAAACCTGATTGGTTCAGAATGGGAAAAGGGGCGGGGCACCTGGGAGGGGCAGCAGGAGCAGCAGGAGGGACAGGAGCCGGAGGGAGCTCGAGGCCGTGGCCGTGATGTTCCAGGGTTGGGGATGGTTAATGCTGCTTTTAGTTTTGAAATCAATGTGGAACACTCAGGACAAGGTGTGCAATTAATTAATGAGAATATTGAGTTAACTTGAAGGGTTTGAGGAACCTCAGGATTCCAGAAAAATCTGATGGAGATTTGGGACCAAACCAGTGGAGTTATGAGGGAAATTTGTAAAGATTCGGTGATGGGGTCCGGGCAGCCGTGACACTGATGGAGTGCAGGGGGGACCTCCAGTCCCCCGGGGGGTCCCTGCGCCTCCTCTGCTGAGGGTCCGGGTTTGATTTTGGGAAATTTGGGATGGGCTGGATGCAGCAGAGACCTGGGCAGGGGCTGGAATTCATCGCCAGCATCAACAGTGATGGTGGCAGCACCAGGTACGCGGATCCAGTCCAGGGCCGGTTCACGATTTTCAGGGACAACGGGCAGAGCTCGGTGACGCTGACCATGAACAACCTCAAGGATGAGGATTCCAGATCCTATTTCTGTGCCAAATCTACTGGTGCTGCTTGGGCTGTTGCTGCAAATCTTTTTGTCCCCATCCGCTTTGCTGTTTCCCCACTTGTCCCCATTTTCCAGATTCTTTCCCCAAACCCCAGCCCCCTCCCCATTCCTGTCCCAGTGTCCCAGCTCTGAACTGGAGCTGCCCCAAATCTCAGCTCCTGGCTGCAAATCTCAGCTCTTGGCCCCAAATCTCAGCTCCTGGCCCCAAATCTCAGCTCCTGCCCCCAAATCTCAGCTCCTGCCCCCAAATCAGGGCCGGTTTCACCCTGAGCTCTGCCTCGTCCCTCCAATCCCAACCATTGCCCCTCAGACTTGTCCAGTTTCACCCCAAATCTCCCCTGCGGGCACCGAGTCAGAGCCACCGACCCAAATCTGCCCCTTGGCCTCGCAATGGGAATTTTGGGCAAAAATTTGAATTCTTGACCCCTCAGCTCAACTTTGGGCTCAAATCCAGACATTTGGGGAGCGAGGGCACTGAGTGTGGCCCAGAGAGGACATGTGGGGCAGAGCCAGGGCAGGGCTGGGACAGCGGGTGAGGAGTGGAGTCAGGGGATGGGGAATGGGGGAAGGGTCTGGGGAATGGGGATACGGATGGGGACTGGGACAAAACCAACTCAACCACCAGAAAAACGAATATCAGAAGCAACATACCAACTGTCAAAGGCAGATTTCACACAGAAATAGGTGGCGGAATCCTCGTCCTTGAGGTTGTTCATGGTCAGCGTCACCGAGCTCTGCCCGTTGTCACTTGTCAATGTGAACCGGCCCTTGACTGAATCTGCATAGAAAGTTTTGCCACTCTTTCTGCTGAACCCTGCAATGAATTCCAGCGTGTTCCAAGACCTCTGGCGCATCCAACCAATGCCAAATTTCATGAAATCATAGCCAGATGTGCGGCAGAGGAGGCGCAAGGACCCCTCGAGGGGCTGGAGGTCCCCCCCGCACTCCAGTAGGATCACGGCTGCCTGGAGCCCTGCTGGACAAAGTGGAGATGAGGATGAGAAACCTGATTGGTTGAGGTAAACAAAGTGGGCGTGGCCATCTGGAAAAAGAGATGGGACCCATCTGTGAAGAGGATGATGAACTCCAAGGGTCCCAATTTGGGCCCAGAGTCAGGATTTGGGTCAAGGGTTGAGCTTTGGCCTCATCCCCATCTCCCCTTTGTCCAGTAGGGCTCCGGGCGGCCGTGACCCTGCTGGAGTGCGGGGGGGACCTCCAGCCCCCCGGGGGGTCCCTGCGCCCACTCTGCCGAGGGTCCGGGTTCAGTTTTTGGAGTTTGGAATGTTCTGGATCCGCCAGAGACTTGGGCAGGTGCTGGAATTCGTTGCTGGGATCAATGCTGATGGTGTCAACACCTTCTACGCGCCATCGGTGAAGGGGCGAGTCACGATCTCCCAGGACAACGGGCAGAGCTCGGTGACGCTGACCATGAACAACCTCAAGGACGAGGATTCCGGATCCTATTTCTGTGCCAAGCGTATTTCTGGTGGCAATGCTGATATTGCCAGTACTTTTGGCCATGTCTCCATCCCCGTGTCCTCAGCTGTCACCAGACCTTTCTCCTGTGGTCACACATAGCCAGCGTCACCGAGCTCAGCCCGCTGTCCCTGGCCGTGCTGACCCGGCCCTTGACCGATGGAACGTTCCATGTGACTCCACCCTTGGACCCATCTGCTTCTCTCACCAAGAACCCCTTGGCTCGAGATCAATTTAAAGAGTTTCATCTCCACAAAAATTCATGCGTTTTCGGGAAAAAAAAAAAAAGGTTTTTTTCTCCATAGCTCCCAGAGAGCATTCTAGCCCAGCCCCAAGGAGCAGCCCCAGACACCGAGGCCGCTGAGGGAGAAATGAAGCTCCAGGTGACAGCGAGGGAGGGAGGGAGGAGCAGACGCCGCGATTTTGGGGCTCCGCAGCCTCCCCCCACTTCCTCCCCAGCAGCTGCCGGGGCCCGGCCGGGGCAGGAAAGGAAACAGAAAGTTCCTGGTTTTGTTCATGGTGAACATCTGTGCTTGGTAGAGGGCAGCTCAGCCTCGGGGCACTGTGGCAGAGCGCCGGCTGCACAAAAAGCTTTGTGTGCAAAGGGCCCGGGAGAGATTGCCGTTCCACACTGGGACGCAGGGGAACTAGGAGAGATTGGGGAGAAATGGGCAAAATTGGGAGGAAAGGGTGAGTTGGGTCTGCAGGAGCAGAGTTTGGGGGAAAATGGTTAAGATTTGAGGAGAAGGGCTTGGATTTGGAGGAAGGATCTCTGGGATTGGAGACATTTCATGACCATCATGGTGACTACCAGAAGCGACACCGAAACCAGCGTCAATAGCATTGCCAGCGTAACCATTGCAACGTTTGGCACAGAAAGAAACGGCGGAATCCTCGTCCTTGAGGCTGTTCATGGTCAACGTCACCGAGCTCTGCCCGATGTCCCTGGAGATCGTGAACCGGCCCTTGAATGATGGCACGTATCTGGGAGTGGCGCCATCACTGGTGATACTCGCCACAAACTGCAAAGCCTGCCCGGGTCTCTGGCGCATCCAGGCCATCCCAAAACTCCCAAAATCGGACCCTCGGCAGAGGAGGCGTAGGGACCCCCCGGGGGGCTGGAGGTGCCCCCGCACTCCAGCAGGGTCACGGCCGCCCGGAGCCCTGCGTGACAAAGAGGAGATAGGGATGAGGCCAAAGCTCAACCCTTGACCCACATCCTGACTCTTGGCCCCAAACTGGGACCCTTTGAGTTCATCATCCTCCTCCCAGGTGATACCAGTCATGTTTTCCAGCAGGTGACGCACACTTTTAGCCTCTCAAGTAATCAGGTTTCGCATTTTTAATCATCTCCCCTTTCTCCCGCAGGGCTCCGGGCGGCCGTGACCCTGCTGGAGTGCGGGGGGGACCTCCAGCCCCCCGGGGGGTCCCTGCACCTCCTCTGCCGAGGGTCCGGGTTTGATTTCGGGAGCTACGACATGAACTGGATCTTCCAGAGACCCGGGCAGGGACTGGAATACGTCGCAAGGATCCACAGCAGTGGGGCTTACGCCAACTACGCGCCATCGGTCAAGGGCTGGTTCTGGGTCTCCAGGGACAACGGGCAGAGCTCGGTGACCCTGACCATGAACAACCTCAAGGACGAGGATTCCGGAGCCTATTTCTGTGCCAAATGTTACAGCACTGGCTGTGGTAATGCTGCTTATGCGCATGGTGTTGATGGTGGTTGTGGCCTCAAGCCTTCTCTTCTGTGTTCCCACAAATCACAGCATTCTCTGATCCTTCCCCAAAATCCTGGCTCTTTTTCTCACATCTCAGATATTTTCCCCCAAACCCCACCATCACTTCCCCAACTTCCAATTTCCCCCAATTTTCCCCATTTCTCCCCAGTCTGGCCCTTCCCCTCCGTCCCAGTATGGCACGGGGATCGCTCCAGGGCCCTTTGCTCACAAAGCTTTTTGTGCAGCCAGCGCTCTGCCGCAGCGCCCCGAGACTGAGCTGCCCTCTGCCAAACACAGATGTTCACAATGACCAAAACCAGCAACTTTCTGTTTCCTTTCCTGCCCCGGCTGGGCCCCGGCAGCTGCTGGGGAGGAAGTGGGGGGAGGCTGCGGAGCCCCAAAATCGCGGCGTCTGCTCCTCCCTCCCACCCTTTGTCCCACCTGGGGCTTCACTTCTCCCTCAGCGGCCTCGGTGTCTGGTGCTGCTCCTTGGCGCTGGGCTAGAATCCTCTCTAGGAGCTCTGGACATGGCAACGATGCTGGTGGTGGCCCCATACCCCAATCCCTGGCTGCCCAAATGTCGCAAAATCCCCAAATCCTGCCCCAAATCACAAACCTTGACCTCATTCTTGACCTTCTCCCTGAATGTCCACCATCTTTGCCCCAACTTTTGACTTTCTCCCAATTTTGCCCATTTCACCCAAATCTCTCCCAGTTCCCAGGCCCTGATTGGAGGAGGCCTGAACTGGAGCCCCCGGGAAAATGTTTGGGGGCAATGGTTGAGTTTTGGGGCAGGAGCAGGGGAGGGTTTGGGGTCAGTGCTGACCATTGGGGCAAATGGGGGAGCTTTGGGACAAAGGGTCAAGGGCTGAGGTCAAAGGGTGAGGTTTGGGCGAAGGGTCTGGGATTGGGGACAGGGGGACACATGGAGACGAGGGTGGATCCACAACTGGTGTCTTCAGCATATGCAGCAGCATCGCCCCAATTGCCCTCAGCAGCAGATTTGGCACAGAAATACGATCCGGAATCCTCGTCCTTGAGGTTGTTCATGGTCAGCGTGACCGAGCTCTGCCCGTTGTCCCTGGAGATCCTGAACCGGCCCTTGAACGATGGCGCATATTAGGTGTAAGCACCATCGTTCCTGATCCCCGCGAGCCACTCCAGCCCCTGCCCGCGTCTCTGACGGATCCAGATCATGGGGTAACTCCCGGAACTGAACCCGGCCCCTCGGCACAGCAACGTCAGGGACCCCCCGGGAAGCTGGAGGTTTGCCCCGCACTCCAGCATGGTCACGGCCGCCCGGAGCCCTGCAGGACAAAGGGGAGATCGGGTTGGGAAAACTGATTGGTCGAGAGTCCCCAAGTCATTCAGGCCAGTTGGAAAAAAGTATTGGATCCATTCTGGAGGGTGACCAAGTTCTGGAGGAGAATGACAAAGGGTCCCAGTTTGGGGGCAAAGGTCAGGATTTGGGTCAATGTTGAGCTTTGGCCTCATCCCCTTCTCCCCTTTGTCCCGCAGGGCTCCGGGTGGCCGAGACCCTGCTGAAGTGTGGGGGGGACCTCCAGCCCCCCGGGGAGACCCGGATGTTGTTGTGCGGAGGGTCTGGGTTCAATTTCGGGGGTCAGTCCATGAGCTGGGTCCGTCAGAGACCCAGGCAGGGTTTGGAATTGCTCGCAGGCATCTACAGCGATGATTCCTACACCGCGTACGCGCCATCGGTCAAGGGTCGGTTCACGATCTCCAGGGACAACCGGCAGAGCTCGGTGACGCTGACCATGAACAACCTCAAGGACGAGGATTCCGGAATCCTATTTCTGTGCCAGGGGTTATTATAACAATGCTGCTGCTAATGACGCCTGTGGTATTGTCCCCATCCCCGTCCCTGTGTCCCCACCTGTCCCCATTCCCCAGACCCTTCCCCCAATCCCCAGCCCCTGACCCCATTCCCATCCCCGTGTCCCAGCTCTGAACTGGTTCTGCTCCAATCTCAGCTCTTGGCCCCAAACCTCAGCTCTGGGCTCCACGTCCCTACCAAATTCCCCAAAACTGACAAGGATGTCCCAGATCCGGCCCCACCATATCAATCTGCCTTTGCTTTGTGTGATTGGCCACAAACCTCTCACGGTGAGCTGTGCCATTGAGTTCTGTGTGTGCTGCCAGGGCCGTGAGCCGCCGGCACGTCCCCATGGCCACAGCCCGGTGAGGAGAGCGATGGTGGGAAACCGAACGGCTCCAGAGGGGTCCCCACAGCGCCGTCCCAGTGGGGATTGGGACAGAGACCCCTGGGCGGGGATGGGCCCAGGGCTGAGAATTGGGGGAAATGTTGGGGGTTTGGGGACAGGAGGGGACACTGAGACGGGGGCACGGGTCAACCACTTGGGCCTTCACCATAAGCAGCAGCATTCCAGCAATAAGCATCAGCACCCTTGGACCAGAAATAGGACCCGGAATCCTCATCCTTGAGGTTGTTCATGGTCAGCGTCGCCGAGCTCTGCCCGTTGTCCCTGGAGATCGTGAAGCGGCCATTGACCGATGGCGCGTAGTAGGTGGTGCCACCATTGATGTAGATGCTTTCGAGCTATTCCAGCCCCTGCCCGGGTCTCTGGCGGACCCAGTACATGGGGTAACTCCCAAAACTGAACCCGGACCCTCGGCAGAGGAGGCACAAGGAACCCCCGGGGGGCTGCAGGTCCCCCCTGCACTCCAGCAGGGTCACGGCCGCCCAGAGCCCTGCGGGAGAAAGGGGAGATGGGGACGAGAAACCTGATTGGCTGTGGGCCTGCAGTGGGTGTGCCACGGTGGAAAAAGGGATGAGACCCACCTGGGAGGGTGACCAGGAGCAGGAGGAGAAGAACGAATTGTTACAACCTGGGGCCAATAGCTGGGATTTTGGGGTCAAGGATTGAGCTTTCGCCGTCCCCATCTCTTTTGGGATGGGCGGGAGAAATGCGGCACGCCATATGAGTGATCAGAAAGTCTCAAATCTTTATTAATAGGCACAGATCTTTATATCGGTGTTAATGAGGCTCATGCATATTGCAAAGGCGAGCTCACCATTGATCGGTTACTCATAAGCCAACTGCGCCTCCTTCTGCATTCTTGTGGATATTTTATTGAAACTTCACTTCGTATTCCTGCCAAAGATGCTCTCCCCTATCCTGCTGCACCACCAAGGGCACAATGTCCTTGCCTGTCATTGGACACTGGCTGCTGGCTCCTGTACTTGTCCCCTTCAAGCTTAACCAGCGGCATTATGTCGACGTGGCCTTTAAAAGCCAACCAGCTGTCCACAAAGCTCTGCACACTTCTCCCCTTTGTCCTGGAGGGCTCCGGGCCGTGGTGACCCTGCTGGAGTGCGGTGGGGACATCGAGCCCCCCGGGGGGTCCCTGCGCCTCCTCTGCCGAGGGTCCGGGTTCAGTTTCAGCAGTTTTCCCATGCAATGGATCCGCCAGAGACCCGGGCAGGGGCTGGAGTGGCTCGCGGGGATCAGCAGCCCTTCTGGTTCCAGCACCTACCACGCGCCGTCAGTCAAGGGCCGGTTCAGGATCTCCAGGGACAACAGGCAGAGCTCGGTGACGCTGACCATGAACAACCTCAAGGACGAGGATTCCGCCACCTATTTCTGTGCCAAAGACAGTGGTGCTGGTGGTGGTGCTGATGCTGCTTATATTGACCGTGCCAGTGGTGGCACCACCCCTGTCTGAGCCCCCCCTGTCCCCAATCCCAGACCCTTCTCCCGAACCTCAGCCCTTGACCCTTTATCCCAAATCTCCCTTATTTGCCCCAATGGTCAGCACTGACCCCAGACCCTCCACTGCTCCTGCCCCAAAACTCAACCATTGGCCCCAAACCTGCACCCCTGGGCTCCAGTTCAGGCCTCCTCCAATCAGGGCCCGGGAGCTGAGGGAGATTGGGGTGAAATGGGCAAAATTGGGGGAAATTCTAGAGTAGGGGCAGCAGGGGCAGAGTTTGGGGGGAAATGATCAAGATTTGTGAAGGGCTGGAATTTGGGGGAAGGATCGCTGGGGTCTGGAGATATTTGTTTCCCATAATGAGTGTGGGATCTCTGCCGATGTCATCAATAAAAACATAATCAATGCCCCAATATTTATGACGTCTGGCACTGAAATAGGATCCGGAATCCTGGTCCTTGAGGTTGTTCATGGTCAGAGTCACCGAGCTCTACCCTTTGTCCCTGGAGATCGTGAACCGGCCTTGCACCGACGGACTGTAGATGGTGTAGCCTCCATTGTAGGTGATGTGGGCGACCAACTGCAGCCCCTGCCCGGGTCTCTGGCGGATCCAGAACATGTCGTGATTGGCCAGAGTGAACCCAGAGCCAATGCAGAGCAATGTCAGGGACCCACGGGGGGCTGGAGTTCCCCCCCGCACTCCAGCAGGGTCACGGCTGCCCGGAGCCCTGCGGGAAAAACAGGAGATGGGGATGAGGCCAAAGCTCAACCCTTGACCCAAATCCTGACTCTTGGCCCCAAATTGGGACTCTTGAAGTTCATCATCCTCCCCCCAAGTGGGTCCTGTCCCTTTTCCCAGCTGGCCACATGCAGTATAAGACATTCAACCAATCAGGTTTCTCATCCCCATCTCCCCTTTGTCCCGCAGGGCTCCGGGCAGCCGTGACCCTGCTGGAGTGCGGAGGGAACCTCCAGCCCCCTGGGGGTTCCCTGCGCCTCCTCTGCCGAGGGCCTGGGTTCAGTTTCGGGGATTATGGAATGTACTGGATCCGCCAGATACCCGGGCAGGCTTTGCAATACGTAGCAGGCATCTACTTCAACAGTGCCAACACCTACTACGCGCCATCGTTCAAGGGTCAGTTCACGATCTCCAGGGACAACGGGCAGAGCTCAGTGACGCTGACCATGAACAACCTCAAGGACGAGGATTCCGCCATTTATTTCTGCGCTAAGTGTGCTGCTAATAATTACCCTGAACATGCTGCTTGTAGTGACGATGCCCATGGTGTACCCACCCCCATCCCTGTGTCCCCCCCGTGCCCGTTCCCCAGACCCTTCCCCCAGACCCCCAGCCCACACCCAGCCCTTGACCATTGATCCCAACCTTGCTCTGCCTCGGCCCCAGTTCTCACCCGCTGACCCCAAACCACAACTCCTGGCCCCAAATCTCCTCTTTGTTCCCCAAAACTTTGCTCTGAAGGTCGGGGTTTGAGGCCCAGGGTCTCGATTTTGAGACAAAGGTTGAGGATTTGTGTCAGCGGCTGCTGCTGCAGGGAGCACAAGTGGGGATTTGGGGCAGATTCGGGCGATTTTTGGTGCCAACTTAGTTGGGTTTGGGGCAGAAGCACTTCGCGGGTTGCCGTTTCGTGGTTAGTGGTGTTGGAAATGGGGGAGATCTGAGACAAAGGGCCAAGAATGGGGTCAAGGGCTGAGATTTGGAGGAAGGGTCTGAGATTTGGGAACATGAGGGGCTCAGAAACGGCGATGCCACTATCGACACGGTCAGTAAAAGCAGCAGCAGCAGCAGCGCTACCAATGCTGTAAGATTTGGCACAGAAATAAACGGCGGGATCCTCGTCCTTGAAGTTGTTCATGGTCAGCGTCACCGAGCTCTGCCCGTTGTCCCTGGAGATCCTGAACCGGCCCTTGACCGAATCTGCACAGTAGACGCTGCCACTGCTGCTGATACTGGCGACTGCTTCCAGCCCATGCCCGGGTCTCTGGCGATGCCAGCCCATCCCAAAACTGCCGAAACTGAACCCGGACCCTTGGCAGAAGAGGCGCAGGGACCCCCCGGGGGGCTGGAGGTCCCCCCCACACTCCACCAGGGTCACGGATGCCCGGAGCTCTGCGGGAAAAAGGGGAGATGGGGATGAGGAACCCGATTCGCTGAGGGCCTCAAAGTGGGTGTGTCAAACTGGAAAATGGGGTGGGACTCACCTTAGAGGGGCAGCCGGAGCAGGACAACTAGGATGGCGTGGTCCAAAGGTCCCAGTTTCGGGCCCAGAGTCAGGGTTTGGGTCAAGGGTTAAGCTTTGTCCTCACCCCCATCTCCCCTTTGTCCCGCAGGGCTCCAGGTGGCCGTGACCCTGCTGGAGTGCGGGGGGGACCTCCAGCCCCCCAGGGGGTTCCTGCGCCTCTTCTGCCGAGGGTCCGGGTTCAGTTTTGGCAGTTTCGAAATGGATTGGGTTCGACAGAGACCTGGGCAGGGGCTGGAGTGGGTTGGAAGCATCAACAGTGGTGGCAGCACCTTCGACGCGCCATCGGTCAAGGGCCGGTTCACGATCTCCAGGGACAACGGGCAGAGCTCGGTGACGCTGACCATGAACAACCTCAAGGACGACGATTCCGCCATCTATTTCTGTGCCAAAACCACTGTTACTGGAAATGTTGCTCGTGCTGATGCTTTTAACCCCGTCCCCTTCACCCTTTCCCCCCCTGTCCCCGTTCCCCAGACCCTTCCCCAATCCCCAACCCCTGTCCCCATTCCTGTCCCCTTGCCCCAACCCTGCAATGGCTCTGCCCCACATTCTCAGCTCCTGGCCCCACAGCCCAGCTCGGGGCCCATTTGGGGCCATTTTGGCTCCTGAGCTCTCCTTGGCCATTCTGACCCTGCCCTTGACCGATGGAAGGTTCCAGGTGACTCCACCCTTGCGCCCATCTGCTTCTCTCAGCATGGAGCCCTCGGCTCGAGGTCAATTTCAACAATTTCATCTCCTCTAACTTTCATGTGGTTTTGGGAAAAAAAAAAGGGTTTTTTCTTCAGAGCTCCCTGAGAGGATTCCAGCCCAGCCCCAAGGAGCAGGACCAGACACCGAGGCCGCTGAGGGAGAAGTGAAGCCCCAGGTGGGACAAAGGGAGGGAGGGAGGGAGGAGAAGACGCCACGATTTTGGGACTCCGCAGCCTCCCCCCACTTCCTCCCCAGCAGCTGCCGGGGCCCAGCCGGGGCAGGAAAGGAAACAGAATGTTCCTGGTTTTGGTCATTGTGAACATCTGTGTTTGGCAGAGGGCAGCTCAGCCTCGGGGCGCTGCGGCAGAGCGCTGGCTGCACAAAAAGCTTTGTGTGCAAAGGGTCCTGGAGCGATCCCCGTTCTGCACTGGGACCGAGGGGAAGGGCCAGACTGGGGAGAGATGGGGAAAATTGGGGGAAATCTAGAAGTTTGACGCTATTAACAGCATTGTCACTATAATTAGCAACAGCCCAAAAACCAGCGCAAAAATCCCTTGCACAGAAATAGGATCCGGAATCCACGTCCTTGAGGTTGTTCATGGTCAGCGTCACCGAGCTCTGCCCCTTGTCCCTGGAGATCCTGAACCGACCCTTGACCAATGGCGCATAGCCGATGTTTTCACCAGTGTTGGTGATTCCCGCGAGCCACTCCAGCCACTGCCTGGGTCTCTGGCGGATCCAGCCCACCCCAAATTGGCGAAAATCGAACCCGGACCCTCGACAGAGGAGGTGCAGGGATCCCCGGGGGGTCTGGAGGTCCCCCCCGCACTCCAGCAGGGTCACGGCCGCCCGGAGCCCTGTGGGACAAAGGGGAGATGGGGATGGGGCCAAAGCTCAACCCTTGACCCCAATCCAGACTTCTGGCCCCAAACTGGGACCCTGGGAGTTCATCATCCTCCTCCCAGGTGGGTCCCACCCCTTTTTCCAGCTGGCCACGCTCATTTTAAAGCTTCTTCTCCATTCAGGTTTCCCATCCCCATCTCCCCTTTGTCCCGCAGGGCTCCGGGCGGCTGTGACCCTGCTGGAGTGCGGGGGGGACCTCCAGGCCCCCGGGGGGTCCCTGCGCCTCCTCTGCCGAGTTCCCGGGTTCAGTTTCAGCAGTTTTGGGATGGGCTGGTATCGGCAGAGGCCCGGACAAGTCCTGGGGTACGTCGCAAGTATCAGTGACCCTGGAGGTTACACCGAGTACGCGCCATCGGTCAAGGGCCGGTTCAGGATCTCCAGGGACAACGGGCAGAGCTCGGTGACGCTGACCATGAACAACCTCAAGACAAGGATTCTGGATCCTATTTCTGTGCCAGGGCTGCTGACGGTTTTGGGGCTGCTGCTAATGGTTACGGTGCCCCTGATGGTCTCAAGCTCCTGCCTTTCATACCACTCCCATCAATGTGTCCCCAGAGTTCTGATTTTCATTCCAAACCTCACGCATTGACCCAGCCCTTGACCCTTTGTCCCCATTTGCCCCAAAGGTCAGCACCAAACCCTCCCCTGCTCCGGCCCCAAAACTCAACCATTGGCCCCAAACCTTCACCCCTGGGCTCCAGTTCAGGCCTGCTCCAACCAGGTCTTGGGAGCTGGGGGAGATTTGGGTGGAATGGGAATAACTGGGAGAAATTCAGGGGTTGGGGCAGCAGGGGCGGAGTTTGGGGTAAAATGGCCGAGATTTGATGAAAAGGGCTGAGATTTGGTGGAGAGATCAGAGGACTGTGGGATATTTGGGAACAAAGTGGAGGGATTTGGGACCAAGACAAGAACCAGCAATAAATGCCACACCAACAGTACCATCACTACTGGCACAACCACCATCAACGCATTTGGCACAGAAATAGGATCCGGAATCCTCGTCCTTGAGGTTGTTCATCGTCAGCGTCACCGAGCTCTGCCCGTTGTCCCTGGAGAGCCTGAACCGGCCCTTGAACGATGGCGCATAGGCAATGCTGCCACCATTGTCCTTGATCCCTGCCACAAATTCCAGCCCCTGCCCGGGTCTCTGCCGCACCCATCACATGGAGAAACTCCCGAAATTTTACCCGGCCCCTCGGCAGAGGAGGCACAGGGACCCCCCGGGGGGCTGGAGGTCCCCCCCGCACTCCAGCAGGGTCACGGCCGCCCGGAGCCCTGCGGGACAAAGGGGAGATGGGCACCAGGACCAGCTGTGCCATTCTCATTCCCAGCACAGAGTCAGACACCATTCCCTCTTTCTCTCTGTCTCTCTCTCTCTCTCCCTCTCTCTCTCTGTCTCTCTCTTTCTGTCACAGGATTTTTCCTGGAGCAGCACAGAGAGAAGATGAAGAGGAAAAAATTCCCATCTCTCATCGCTGCTCCTGCTGTTTCTGCACGTGTGGAAAGTGTCAGGGGGATTGTTCCCCTCCAGGGATTCATCATCTGGGTTCTGCTGCAGATTGTTTTGTTTCCTTGGCCAATGGGCTCCAAGCCGTGACCTGGCTCTGTCAGACTCTCACCGGGATTCTTTAGGATTTTTTCGTGTCTTTTGTACAGAATTCTTTTAGTATATCTTTAGTATAGAGGTAATATAGCATTAATGAGATACAATATAGTATTAATGGGATATAAAATAGCATTTATGAGATGTTATATAGAATTAATGAGATATAGCATTAATGAGATGTAATATAGTATTAATGGGATATAATATAGAATTATTGAGATATAATATAGTATTAATGAGATGTAATATACCATTAAGGAGATGTAATGTAGTATTAAAGAGCTGTAATATGGTATTAATGAGTTATAATATAGAATTAATGAGATATAATAAAGTATTAATGAGATATAATATATTATTAATTAGATGTAATATACAAATAATGAGATATAATATTGTATTAATGTAATAAAATATAATATTTATGTAATATAGTAGAGATTTAATAGAGCAATTGTTCAGCATTCTGCATAATGGAGTCAGATGCCATGACCCTGCTGGAGTTTGGCGGGGACCTCCAGCCCCCCGGGGGCTCCCTGCGCCTCCTCTGCCGAGGGTCCGGGTTCAGTTTTGGGAATTTTGGGATGCAGTGGGTCCGCCAGAGAGCTGGGCAGGTGACAGAGTGGCTCGGGGGGATTAAGAGCGATGGTTCCAGCACCGGCTATGCACCCTCAGTCAAGGGCCGGGTCACGATCTCCAGGGACAACGGGCAGAGCTCGGCGACGCTGACCATGAACAACCTCAAGGACGAGGATTCTGCCACCTATTTCTGTGCCAATCTGTTAATGTTTGGTATGATCCTGCTGGTGTTATTTAAAGATTTGACTGTGCCCCCCCTCCCCTGTGTCCCCCAAACCCCCAGCCCTCACGGAGCCCTTGACCATTCATCCGAACCTTGCTCTGCCTCGGCCCCAATTCTCACCCGCTGACCCCAAACCACAACTCCAGAGCCCAAATCTCCTCTTTTTGCCCCAAAACTTTGAATTAAAAGTGGAGATTTGAGGCCAAGGTAAAGGCTTGGGTCAACTTTCTTGCCAGGTAAGGAGAATTTGGGGAAGAACCGCTCTAGGTTTGGGACAGAGCCAGGAATAGGCAAAAGGGTTTGGGTTTTAGGGAAGGGTCTGGGATTTGGGAGCTGGCTGGGACACAGCCACAGGGTCCGGACCAAAACCATCCACACCAGCACCAGTACCCCAATTGTTATAAGCAGATTTCCCACAGAAATAGGATCCAGAATCCTCGTCCTTGAGGTTTTTCATGGTCAGCGTCACCGAGCTCTGCCCGTTGTCCCTGGAGATCGTGACCTGGCCCTTAACTGACGGCGCGTACCAGGCGCTGCCACCAGTGTTGATCTCTGCGAACCACTCCAGCCCCTGCCCGGGTCTCTGGCACACCCAGTCCATGTCGTAGCTCCCGAAACTGAACCCGGACCCTCGGCAGAGGAGGCGCAGGGACCTCCCGGGAGGCTGGAGGTGCCCCCCGAACTCCAGCAGGGTCACAGCCGCCCGGAGGCCTGCGAGACAAAGGGGAGATGATGGAAATGACAAATCTGATTGGTCCAGAATGAGAAAAGGGGCATGGCTTGCAGAAAAAGGGGCAGGACCAGCGTGAGAGGTCAGCCAGAATGAGGATGTGGTGGCAGAAGTGTCAAAATTTTGGGCCAAGAGTCAGGATTTGGGTCAAGGGTGTAGCTTTGGCCTCATCCCCATCTTCCCTTTGTCCCGCAGGGCTCCGGGCGGCCGTGACCCTGCTGGAGTGCGGGGGGGACCTCCAGCCCCCCAGGGGGTCCCTGCACCTCCTCTGCCGAGGGTCCAGGTTCAGTTTCTGGAGTTTCACCATGTACTGGGTTCGTCAGAGACCAGGGCAGGGCCTGGAATACATCGAAGCAATCAAGAACGATGGTTCCAGCTACGCCTAATCATCATCTGTGCAGGGCCGGTTCAGGATCTCCAGGGACAACGGGCAGAGTCTGATGACGCTGACCATGACCAACCTCAAGGTCGAGGATTCCGCTCTTTATTTCTGTGCCAAAAATTGGGATGATTGTTGTGCTTCTGCTGCTGGTGAGGATATTGATTGTGGTGATGTTGGTCATGGTGGTTTTGGCCCTGCTCCCATGTGGTGTCCCCTCTGTCCTCAAACCCAGACCCTTCCCGTAAACCTCAGCCCTTGACCCTTGTCACCATTGGCCTGAAAATCCCTCTGGGGCAGCCCCAAATGTGCACCCCTGGCCCAAAACCCAAGCTGGGGGCATTAAATCTTGAGGGTTCAGCACCAAAATTGGCACCAAGGGTGAAGGGGTGGGTCCGAGAGTTTGGAGTTTGGGGGAGAATGGGGGAGATTTGGGACAGAGCCAGTTCAGGGCTGGGACACGGGGACAGGAATGGGGTGAGGGGCTGGGGATTGGGGGAGGGATCCGGGGGATGGGGACAGGGGGGACATAGCAATGGGTGCGGGGTCAATACAAGAGGAACCAGTATAACCAGCACAGCCAGCAGCACCCTTGGCACAGAAATAGGAGGCGGAATCCTCGTCCTTGAGGTTGTTCATGGTCAGCGTCACCGAGCTCTGCCCGTTGTCCCTGGAGATCGTGAACCGGCCCTTGACTGATGGCTCGTGGTTGGTGCTACGACCATTGTAGCTGATACTGGCGATGAATTCCAGCCCCTGCTCGGGTCTCTGGCGCATCCATCCCATTGCAACACTCCCAAGACTGAACCCAGCCCCTTGGCAGAGGAGGCGCAGGGACCCCCCCGGGGGCTGGAGGTGCCCCCCGCACTCCAGCAGGGTCACAGCCGCCCGGAGTCCTGCGGGAAAAAGGGGAGATGGGCATGAGGGCAACGCTCAACCCTTGACCCAAATCCTGACTCTTGGCCCCAAATTGGGACCCTTGGAGTTCATCATGCACCACCCTGGTGGATCCTCCCTCTTTTAAAAGTTGCCACGCCTGCTTTGAGGCCCTCAAAGCATCAGGTTTTTCGTCCCCACCTCCCCTTTGTCCCGTAGGGCTACGGGCGGCCGTGACCCTGCTGGTGTGCGGTGGGGACCTCCAGCCCCTGGGGGTCCCTGCGCCTCCTCTGCCAAGGGTCCGGGTTCAGTTTCGGCAGTTTTGCCATGAACTGGGTGCGCCAGAGACCTGGGCAGGGGCTGGAGTGGCTCGCAGGAATCTACAGGGATGGTTCCAGCACCTATTATGCGCCATCAGTCAAGGGCCAGGTCACGATCTCCAGGGACAACGGGCAGAGCTCGGTGACGCTGACCACGAACAACCTCAAGGACGAGGATTTCGCCACCTATTTCTGTGCCAAGGGTGCTGATAGTGGTTACCAAAATCAGGCTGCTGCTTATCATTTGATCCCATCTCCGTCCCTGTGTCCCCCCCTGCCCCTGTTCCCCAGACCCTTCCCCCAATCCCCAACCCCTGACCCCATTCCTGTTCCCGTGTCCCAGCTCTGAACTGCTTATTCCCCAAACCTTCCCCATTTTCCCCCAAATTCATTACTCTCGGACCCACATCTTGACTCTAAGAAATTTTTTTGCCAAACCCTCCGGATTCGGTACCCCCAGTGCGGGTTTGGGGACAGGGGTACAGATTTGGGGCTGCCTCAGAGGGATTTTCAGGCCCGTGGTCACAATGGAAGGGAGCAGAAATCTGGGGTGAATGGCTGAGATTTGGGGGATGGTTCTGGGCAAACAGCCCAAGGGTGAGGGGAAGGGCGAGATTTGGGGGAAATGGGCAAAATTGGGGAAAAGTCCAGACTTGGGTCAGCAGGGGTGGAGTTTGGGGGGAAATAGTGAAGTTTTGAGGAGAAGGGCTGGGATCTGGGGGAAGGATCGCCAGGATTGGGGAAATTTGGAGACCACCATGGTCACTACCAGGATTGATGCCAAAACCAGCAGCATTACCATTGCCAGCGTAATCACTGGAGCGTTTGGCACAGAGATAGGATCCAGAATCCTCGACCTTGAGGTTGTTCATGGTCAGGGTCACCGAGCTCTGCCCGTTGTCCCTGCAGATCCTGAACCGGCCCTTGACCGACTGTGAGTAGATGGTGGTGCCACCACTGTTGATGTATGCCACGAATTGCAGCCCCTGCCCGGGTCTCTGATGGATCCAGAACATTCCAAAACTCCAAAAATTGAACCCAGATGCGCGGCACAGCAACGTCAGGGACCCCCCGGGGGGCTGGAGGTGCCCCCCGCACTCCAGCAGGGTCACAGCCGCCCAGAGCCCTGCGGGACAAAGGGGAGATGGGGATGAGGACAAAGCTCAACCCTTGACCAAAATCCTGAACCTTGGCCCCAAACTGGGACCCTTGGAGTTCATCATCCTCATCCCAGGTGAGTCACATCCCATTTTCCAGCAGACCACACCCGCTTTGACCCCACAACCAATCAGGTTTCTCATCCCCATCTCCCCTTTGTCCCGCAGGGCTCTGGGCGGCTGTGGCCCTGCTGGAGTGCGGTGGGGACCTGCAGCCCCCCGGGGGGTCCTCTGCCGAGGGTCCGGCTTCGATTTTGGGGGTTTTGGGATGGGCTGGTATCCACAGACACCAAAGAATGCACTGTAATGGCTCGCAAGTATCACCAACAATGGTGGGAGCAACTGGTATGCGCCATCAGTCAAGGGCCGGGTCACGATCTCCAGGGACAACGGGCAGAGCTCGGTGACGCTGACCATGAACAACCTCAAGGACGAGGATTCTGCTGTTTATTTCTTCGGGAAATCTTACAATACTGGTGCTCCTGTTGCTGTTGCTCATGGGGACCTTCCCAGTGATTGCCCCACACCAAACACAGCACCCCCACTTGTCCCCGTTCCCCAGACCCTTCCCCAGCTCCCAGCCCCTGACCCTGCCCGTGACCATTTCTCCATTTCCATTTCCCCTCTCCGGCCCCAAATCCCAACCCTTGGCCGTTGATCTTCCCCCAAACTCTGCCCCAAAGGTCAACGCTGGGCCCGGGGCTGGGGACACGAGTTCAGTCACAGAGAGGGAGGACGAGGCCTGGGATTTTGAGGCAGGGTTTGGGGAATGGGGACATTTGGGACCACAACAATAGGGGTGGAGTGAATAGCATTGGCATGATGGTAATCCCCATCAGCCCCAGCGGCTTTGGCACAGAAATAGGATCCAGAATCCTCGTCCTGCAGGTCGAGCATGGGCAGTGTTGTGAAGCTCGGCCCGTTGTCCCTGGAGATCCTGACCCTGCCCTTGACCGACGGGGCGTAGTGGGTGTAACCTCCAGAGCTGTGGATCACCGCGAGCCATTCCAGCCCCTGCCCAGGCCTCTGGCGGATCCATTGCATGGAGTGACCCCAGAAACAGAACCCGGACCCTCAGCACAGCAACGTCAGGGACCCCCCGGGGGGTTGGAGGTGCCCCCCGCACTCCAGCAGGGTCACGGCCACCCGGAGCCCTGCGGGACAGAGGGGAGATAGGGATGGGGCTAAAAATCAACCCAAATATTGATTCTTCCATGCAGATCCTTATGTTGGACACAAATTGGGACCCTTGGACCTCACCATCCTCCTCCTGCAGCACCTGCCAATCCTCCCAGGTGGATCCCGCACACTTCTTCTGGCATGGCGGTGCCCACTTTGGGTCCATAACCAATCCAGCTCCTCATCCCCATCTCCCCGTTGTCCCACAGGGCTCCGGGCGGCCGTGACCCTGCTGGAGCGCGGGGGGGACATCCAGCCCCCCGGGGGGTCCCTGCGCCTCCTCTACCGAGGGTCCGGGTTCGATTTTGGGAATTTCAACATGGGCTGGATGCGTCAAAGACCTGGGAAGGGACTGGAATTCGTGGCAGGGATCAGCAACAACGGTGGAAACATTGGCTACGCACCATCGGTCAAGGGCCGGTTCAGCATCTCCATAGACAACGGGCAGAGCTCGGTGACGCTGACCATGAACAGCCTCAAGGACGAGGATTCCGGATCCTATTTCTGCGCCAAGGGTGCTTACAGTTGTTGTGCTGCTTCTGATGCTGATGTTGGTGGTGGTGTCCTTACCCCTGTTCCTGTCCCCGTGCCCCAGATCATTCCCTCCAACCCCAGACCCCACTCCTGACCCTGCGTCCCAACCCTGCCCTGCTCTGGCCCCAAATCTTAACTCCTGGCCCCTCCGGCTCCTGTTTCTGCGCGAAATCTCCGGGTACCGGTGGCGCTTATGCTGCTGGTTATATTGAGAGTGCCGACCATGGCCCCATCCCCAACCAGCATTAGGAGCAGCTCCATAACTATCAGCATCCTTGGCACAGAAATAGGATCCGGAATCCTCGTCCTTGAGGTTGTTCATGGTCAGCGTCACCGAGCTCTGCCCGTTGTCCCTGGAAGTCGTGAACTGGCCTTTGACCGACAGCGAGTAGTAGGTGGCACCATTGCTCCAGATCGCTGCGATCCACTCCAGCCCCTGCCCGGGCATCTGGCGCATCCAGCCCATCCCAAAGCTGCTGAAAATGAACCCGAACTCTCGGCAGCGGAGGCGCAGGGACCCCCCCGGGGGGCGGGAAGTCCCCCCCGCACTCCAGCAGCGTCACGTCCACTCCCCAATCCCCTTCCCCAGTTTTGCCCCAAATTCCCTTTGTCTGGACTCAAATATTCTACAGAAATTTCCATTATTGTACAATACCTTAAACCCTGCAATTAGCCCCAGCCGACCCATTAATAATTTCGACACCGGCACCTGGCTTTTGAATCGCCCCATCACCCTCTCCCCTTTGTCCCGCAGGACTCCGAGCGGCCGTGACCCTGCTGGAGCGCGGGGGGGACCACCAGCCCCCCAGGGGGCCCTGACGTTGCTCTGCATCGGCTCTGGGTTCACTCTGGCCAATCACGACGTGTTCTGGGTGCGCCAGAGACCTGGGCAGAGGCTGGAGTTTGTCGCCCACATCACCTACAATGGAGGCTACACCATCTACAGTCCATCGGTGCAGGGTCGATTCACGATCTCCAGGGAGAACGGGCAGAGCTCAGTGACGCTGACCATGAGCAACCTCAAGGACGAGGATTCCGGATCCTATTTCTCGCCAGACGTCCCAAATATTGGGGCGCTGGTTATGTTTTTATTGATGATGCTCTCAGAGATCCCATGCCCTTGATGGTCACCAAATGTCTCCAATCGCCACAGATTCTTCCCCAAAATCCCAGTCCTTCTCCTCAAATCTTGGCTATATTCCCCCAAACTCTGCCCCTGTTGCCGCAGCCCTGGAGTTTCCCCAGTTTTCCCCATTTCACTCAATTCTCCCCCAGCTCCCTGAAGTCTGATTGGCTGATCGGGCACAGTCTGAAATGAGAACTCTTGGAGAGCAAGGCCTGAACTGGGGGACGTGTTTGAATGTTTGGGGCCAATGGTTGAGTTTTGGGGCAGGAGCAGGGGAGCGTTTGGGGTCAGTGCTGACCATTGGTGCAAATGGGGGAGATTTGGGACAAAGGGTCAAGGGCTGAGGTTTGGGGGAAGGGTCTGGGATTGGGGACCATAGGGGCTCTGATAGGGTGGTGCCACCACCGGAATGGTCAATATAAGCAGCAGCATAAGCGCTACCAGTATTGTAAGATTTGGCAGAGAAATAGGTGGCAGAATCCTCGACCTTGAGGTTGTTCATGGTCAGTGCCACCGAGCTCTGCCCGTTGTCCCTGGAGATCGTGAACCGGCCCTTGACAGATGGCGCGTAGTAGGCGCTGCCACTGCTGATGATACTGGCGACTGCTTCCAGCCCCTGTCCAGGCCTCTAGGGATGCTAGCCCATGCCAAAACGGCCAAAATCGAACCCGGACCCTCGGCAGAGGAGGCGCAGGGACCCCCCGGGGGGCTGGATGTCCCCACCGCACTCCAGCAGGGTCACGGCCGCCCGGAGCCTTGCGGGATAGAGGGGAGATGGGGATGAGGCCAAAGCTCAAACCTAGACCCAAATCCTTACTCTTGGCCCCAAATTCTAACCCTGGGAGTTCATCATCCTCCTCTCACGTGCATCCCACCACTTTTTCAAGCGTGCCACTCCAACTTGGGCACTCTTCACCCATCAGGTTCCTCATCCCCATGTCCCCTTTGTCCCGCAGGCCTCCGGGCAGCCGTGACCCTTCTGGAGTGCGGGGGGGACATCCAGCCCCCTGGGCGGTCCCTGCGCCTCCTCTGCCGAGGGTCCGGGTTCAGTTTTGGGGATTATGGAATGTACTGGATCCGCCAGAGACCCGGGCAGGGGCTGGAATACGTCGCAGGCATCTACTACAATGGTGCCAACACCTACTACGCGCCATCAGTCAAGGGCCAGTTCACGATCTCCAGGGACAACGGGCAGAGCTCGGTGACGCTGACCATGAGCAACCTCAAGGGCGAGGATTCCGGATCCTCTTTCTGTGCCAAGGGTGCTGATAGTGGTTACCAAAATCAGGCTGCTGCTTATCGTGTGGCCCTGTCCATGTCCCCAGGTTCCCCTCCCGTCCCCGTTCCCCAGACCCTTCCCCCAGTCCCCAGTCCCTGACCCCATTCCTGTCCCCGTGTCCCAGCCCTGAACTGGCCCTTCCCAAATCTCCCCCATTCTCCCCCAAATTCCCAACCCTCGGCCCCACCCCTTCACCCTTGGTGCCAATTTTTGTGCCAAACCCTCCGGATTCAGTGCCCCCAGCACGGGTTTAGGGCCAGGGGTGCAGATTTGGGGCTGCCCCAGAGGGATTCTCAGGCAAATGGTCACAAGGGAAGGGAGCGGAAATCTGGGGTGAAAGGCTGAGATTTGGGGGATGATTCTGGACAAACGACCCCAGGGTGAGGGGAAGGGCGAGATTTGGGGGAAGGATCTCTGGGATTGGAGAAATTTGGTGACCATCATGGTCGCTACCAGAAGTGAAGAAAAAAGAGCAGTGGCATTGACAGCAGCATAACCATTGTCACGTTTGGCACATAAATAAACAGTGGAATCCTCGTCCTTGAGGTTGGTCATGGTCAGCATCACTGAGCTCGGCCCCTTGTACCTGGAGATCCTGAACCGGCCCTTGACCGATGGCACGTAGTAAGTTGTGCCACCATTGCTGTAGATGCTTGCGAGCCACTCCAGCCCCTGCCCAGGTCTCTGGCGCACCCAGTACGTGTCGTAGCTCCAGAAACTGAACCCGGACCCTCGGCAGAGGAGGCGAAGGGACCCCCCGGGGGGCTGGAGGTCCCCCCTGCAGTCCAGCAGGGTCATGGCCGCCCGGAGCCCTGCGGGACAAAGGGGAGATGATGGAAATGACAAATCGGATTGGTCCAGAATGAGAAAATGGGCATGGCTTGCAGAAAAAAGGGGCAGGACCCACATGAGACGGCAGCCAGGATGAGGATATGGTGGCAGAAGTGTCAAAATTTGGGGCCAGGAGTCACGATTTGGGTCAAGGGTTGAGTTTTGTCCTCATCCCCATCTCCCCTTTGTCCCGCAGGGCTCCGGGCGGCCGTGACCCTGCTGGAGTTCAGGGGGGGACCTCCAGCCCCCCGGGGGGTCCCTGCGCCTCCTCTGCCGAGGGGCCGGGTTCGATTTTGGAAGTTTCTCCATGTCTGGGTTCGCCAGAGCTCCGGGCAGGCGCTGGAGTGGTTACAGCAGTGGCTGTGGTAATGGCGCTTATGCTCATGGTGTTGATGGTGGTTGTCCTCCCAAGCCCTTTCTTCTGTGTTCCCAAGTATCACAAAATTATCTAAACCTTCCCCAAAGTCCCAGCCCATCTCCTGAAATCTCAGCCCTTTTCCCCCAAACTCAGCCCCTGTTGCCCAAACTCTCAACTTTCCTTCAGTTTTGCCCATTTCACCCAAATCTCCCCCAGTTCCCAGGCCCTGATTGGAGGAGGCCTGAACTGGAGCCCAGGGGTGAAGGTTCGGGGCCAATGGTTGAGCTCTGGAGCAGGAGCAGGGGAGGGTTTGGGGTCAGTGCCGACCATTGGGGCAAATGGGGGAGATTTGGGACCAAGGGTCAGTGGGTGAGGTTTGGGGGAAGGGTCTGGGGACCCGAAACCGGGGGGACATGGGGGGACGGGGGTGGATCCACAACTGGTGTCTTCAGGATATGCAGCAGCATCCCCCCAATTGCCAGCAGCAGCAGATTTGGCACAGAAATAGGATCCGGAATCCTTGTCCTCGAGGTTGTTCATGGTCAGCATCACCGAGCTGTGCACATTGTCCCTGGAGATCCTCACCCAGCCCCTGAATGATGGTGCATAGCTGGTGTAAGCACCATCGTTCCTGATCCCCGCGACCCACTCCAGCCCCTGCCCGGGTCTCTGTCGGGCCCATTGCATGGAAAAACTCCCAAAACTGAAGCCGGACCCTCGGCAGAGGAGGCGCAGGGACCCCCCGGGGGGCTGGAGGTGCCCCCCGCACTCCAGCAGGGTCACGGCCGCCTGGAACCCTGCGGGACAGAGGGGAGATGGGGATGAAGGGATGCAAAAGTCAGGCAGAGGTGTCCAATTAATTAATGGGTGGATTGGGGCTAATTGCAGGGTTTAAGGAACTTTTCAATACAGGAAACCTCTGCTGGAAATTTGAGGCAAGAAAAAAGGATTCTGGGGCAAAACCAGTGAAGGTTTGGGGATGGGGGAGCGGCCGTGACCCTGCTGGAGTGCGGGGGGGACCTCCAGCCCCCCGGGGGGTCCCTGCGCCTCCTCTGCCGAGGGTCTGGATTCAGTTTAAGGAGTTTCTCCATATTCTGGATCTGCCAGAGACCAGGGCAGGGGCTGGAATACATCGCGGGGATCAAGAGCAACGGTGGTGGCATTGGCTACTCAGATTCGGTCAAGGGTCGGTTCAGGATCTCCAGGGACAACGGGCGGAGCTCGGTGACGCTGACCGTGAACAACATCAAGGACGAGGATTCCGGATCCTATTTCTGTGCCAAGCGTATTTCTGGTGGCAATGCTGATATTGCCAGTGCTTTTGGCCCTGTCCCCATCGCTGTGTCCTCAGCTTTCCCCAGACCTTTCCCCTGTGGTCACACATAGCCAGCGTCACCGAGCTCAGCCCGCTGTCCCTGGCCGTGCTGACCCGGCCCTTGACCGATGGAACGTTTCAGGTGACTCCACCCTTGCACCCATCTGCTTCTCTCAGCATGGAGCCCTTGGCTCGCGATCAATTTCAACAGTTTCATCTCCACAATATTTCATGTGTTTTTGGGAAAAAGAAAAGGGTTTTTTCTTCAGAGGTCCCAGAGATAGGATTCCAGCCAAGCCCCAAGGAGCAGCACCAGACACCGAGGCCGCTGAGGGAGCAGTGAAGCCCCAGGTGGGAGCGAGGGAGGGAGGGAGGGAGGAGAAGACGCCGCGATTTTGGGGCTCCGCAGCCTCCCCCCACTTCCTCCCCGGCAGCTGCTGGGGCCCGGCCGGGGCAGGAAAGGAAACAGAAAGTTCCTGGTTTGGTCATTGTGAACATCTGTGTTTGGCAGAGGGCAGCTCAGCCTCGGGGCGCTGCGGCAGAGCGTCGGCTGCACAAAAAGCTTTGTGTGCAAAGGGCCCTGGAGTGATCCCCATTCCACACTGGGATGGAGGGGAAGGGACAGACTGGGGAGAAATGGGGAAAATTGGGGGAAATTGGGAACTGGGGAAGTGACAGTGCAGTTTGGGGGAAAATATCTGAGATGTGAGAAAAAGAGCCAGGATTTTTGGGAAGGATCTCTGGGATTGGGAAAATATTTTGACCATCATATTCACTATCTGGATTGATTCCAGCATCAATAGCATTGCCAGCATAAGCATTGCAAAGTTTGACCCAGAAATAAACGGCTGAATCGTCGTCCTTGTGGTTGTTCATGGTCAGTGTCACTGAGCTCTGCCACTTGTCCCTGGAGATCGTGAACCGGCCCTTGACTGATGGTGCGCAGTCGGTGCTGCAGCCACTGTTGATGCTTCCAACCCACTCCAACCCCTGTCCAGGTCTCTGTCGAACCCAATCCATTTGGAAACTGCCAAAACTGAACCCGGACCCTCAGCAGAGGAGGCGCAGGGATCCCCCGGGTGGCTGGAGGTCCCCCCCGCACTCCAGCAGGGTCACGGCCGCCCGGAGCCCTGCAGGACAAAGGGGAGATGGGGATGAGAAACCTGATTGGCTGTGGGCCCTAAGTGGGTGTGGCCAGCTGGAAAAAGGGATGAGACCCAGCTGGGAGGGGGATCAGGAGCAGGAGGAGAAGGACAAATTGTCACAACCTGGGGCAATAGTTGGGACTTTGGGGTCAAGGGTTGAACTTTGGCCTCATCCCCATCTCCCCTTTGTCCCGGAGGGCTCCGGCCGGCCGTGACCCTGCTGGAGTGCGGGGGGGACCTCCAGCCCCCCGGGGGCTGCCTGCGCCTCCTCTGCCGAGGGGTCGGGGTCAGTTTCAGCAGTTTTGCCATGTTCTGGATCAGCCAGAGACCCGGGCAGGGGCTGGAATTCGTCGCTTACTTCAGGAGCGATGGTTCCGGCACATGGTACGCCCCATCGGTCAAGGGCCAGTTTAGGATCTCCAGAGACAACGGGCAGAGCTCGGTGACGCTGACCATGAACAACCTCAAGGACGAGGATTCCGGATCCTATTTCTGTGCAAAAGCTGCTGGTGCTGCTTGGGCTGCTGCTGCTGCTTACATGGACCGTGCCGGTGGTGGCAGCGCCCTTGCCTGAGCCCCTCTTTTCCCCAAAACTCAGAACCTTTACCCAAATCTCAACCCTTGACCTCATTCTAACCCCTTGGCCCAGGTCTCCCCCATTTCCTCCAATGGTGGCCAAAGACCCCAAACCCCCAAACTGGTTCTGCCCCAAACCCTCCTTCTTTGGCCCCAAAACTCGCCCAATTCTGCCCCAAATCCCTACTCTGGGCTCCCAGCCGCAGCCGGTGGCCCAAACCTCACCCGCTGCCCGCAAATCTCGGCTCTTTGGGGCAATTTTGGGGCACAAGGGGGAGATCTAGGGCCGAGAGTTGAGTTTGGGGCCAGACCCAGGGCAGGGTTTGGGGCAAATGTGCAGCGTTGGGGCAAAGGGGGCGGGGCTGAGACAAAGGGTCAGGGGTGGGTCAGGGGGGTTTGGGGAAGGGTCTGGGGACAGCTGGGGAGAGGGACGGTGCCAGGACCCCAAACAGCAACCCAACCACCGGGAGTGAAACCAATGGCATGGGCAGCATTCCAGCCTCCATAGGAATCCTTGGCACAGAAATAGATGGCGGAATCCTTGTCCTTGAGGTTGTTCATGGTCAGCATCACCGAGCTCTGCCCGTTGTCCCTGGAGATCGTGACCCGGCCTTTGACAGAATCTCCATAGTGGGTGGTGCCACCAGTGCTGATCTGTGCTACGAACTCCAGCCCCTGCCCGGGTCTCTGCCGGTACCAGCCCATCCCAAAACTGCCAAAACTGAACCCGGACCCTTGGCAGAGGAGGTGCAGTGACCCCCCGGGGGGCTGGAGGTCCCCCCCACACTCCAGCAGGGTCACGGCCGGCCGGAGCCCTGTGGGACAAAGGGGATGGAAAAGCTCAACCGTTGATCCAAATCCTGGCTCTTGGCCCCAAATTGGGTCTCTTGGAGTTCATCATCCTCCTCCCAGGAGGGTCCAGTCCCTTTCTCCAGGTTGCCACACCTGCTTTGAGGCCCTCGACCAATCAGGTTTCCCATCCCCATTTCCCCTTTTTCCGCAGGGCTCCGGGCGCCCGTGACCCTGCTGGAGTGCGGGAGGGACCTCCAGCCCCCCAGGGGGTCCCTGATCCTCCTCTGCCTGCGGTCTAGGTTTGATTTTGACAAATTTGACCTGTTCTGGATCCGGCAGAGACCCGGGAAGGGGCTGGAATTCATCGCCAGCATCTAGTATGGCAGTGGGGGTTACACCTACTACGCGGATTCGGTGCAGGGCCGCTTCACGATCTCCAGGGACAATGGGCAGAGCTCCATGTCCCTGACCATGACCAACCTCAAGGACGAGGATTCTGGACCTATTTCTGCACCAGATCTGCTCCTGTTTACTATAATTATGGTGCTGGTTATGCTGACAGTGAAGGTCACCCCATCCCCCACCAGCATTAGGAGCAGCACCATAACCATCAGCATCCTTGGCACAGAAATATTATCCAGAATCCTCGTCCTTGAGGTTGTTCATGGTCAGCATCACCGATCTCTGCCCGTTGTCCCTGGAGATCGTGACCCGGCCCTTCACAGATAGTGAGTAGTAGGTGGCACCACTGCTCCAGATGGCTGTGATCCACTCCAGCCCTGCCCGGGTCCCCGGCACATCCAGCCCATCCCAAAACTGCCAAAATCGAACCCGGCCCCTCGGCAGAGGAGGCGCAGGGACCCCCCGGGGGGCTGGAGTTCCCCCCTGCACTCTAGCAGGGTCACGGCCCCCCGGAGCCCATCCCCAAACCTTCGCCAATTTCTCTCATAACTCCCCTGGTTTGGTCCCAAAACCCCACCAGAGTTTTCCATATCTCAAAATGCCTCAAACACTGCAAATAACCCCAATCCATTCTTTAATTACTTAGACACCTCATCCTGAGCATTCTGCATTGATTACACAGTTAATGCACTGTTAACGACCCCCAATTCCCCCCGGGATCCCAACCCGGGCACATCCCGGCCTTGACCTCGAGTTCCTTCCAGCTCCAGCTCTTGACCCTGCTGCTCCTGCTGCCCCTCCCATGTGGCCCCGCCCCTTTTTCCTGGTAGTCACTCCCCTTTTCCCCTTCTGGACTAATCAGGTTTCCCGTCCCCATCTCCCCTTTGTCCCGCCGGGCTCCAGGCGGCCGTGACCCTGCTGGAGTGCGGGGCGGACCTCCAGCCCCCCAGGGGGTCCCTGACGTTGCTCTGCCGAGGGTCCGGGTTCGATGTCGGCAGTGTTGACATGGGCTGGGTGCGCCAGAGACCCGGGCAAGGGCTGGAAACCGTCGCACGCCTTGACAGTGGTGGATATGCCTGGTACCCATCTGAGGTCAAGGGCCGGTTCAGGATCTCCAGGGACAACGGGCTGAGCTCGGTGACGCTGACCATGAACAACCTTAAGGACGAGGATTCCGTCGTCTATTTCTGTGCCAAATGTGATTATAAAAATTGGAATGCTGCTGCTGATAGTTTTCGCCCTGTCCCCATCCGCACGTCCCCCCCGTCCCCATTTCCCAGACCCTTCCTCAAACCCCAGCCCCTGACCCCATTCCAGTCCCCTGTCCCAGCTCTGAACTGGTTCTGCCTCAATCTCAGCTCCTGACCCCAAACCTCAGCTCTAGGCACCAAGGCTCAACCAAGGTCCCCAAACCTGCGTGCAAATGGTCGAGATTTGGGGAAAATCGGCCAAATTTTGTCTGTGGCTATGACACAGTTCCACCACTGAAATTTTCGGGCAGAATGGGTCCAGTTTTGCAAAAATGGTTGAGATTTGTGGGACGAGAGTGAGCTCAGGGTGAAACCGGCCCTGATTTGGGGCCAGGAGCTGAGATTTCGAGTCAGAGCAGGGCAGGGTTGGGACAAAGGGTCAGGAGTGGGATCAGGGGTTGTAGGGAAGGGTCTGGCGAACGGGGACAGGTGGGGACACAGACATGGGAACAGGACCAACACCAGCCTTGTCACCATAACCAGCAGCAGGAGTAGCAGTATTAAAAGATTTCACACAGAAATAGGATCCGGAATCCTCATCCTTGAGGTTGTTCATGGTCAGCATCACCGAGCTCTGCCCGTTGTCCCGGGAGATCGTGAGTCGACCCTTGACTGAATCCGCATAGTAGGCGCTGCCACTGCTGCTGATCCTTGCCACCGATTCCAGCCCCTTCTAAGGGATCTGTCGAACCCAGCCCATCCCAAAACTGCCAAAATCAAACCTGGACCCTCGTCAGAGGAGGCACAGGGATCCCCCGGGGGGCTGGAGGTCCCCCCCGCACTCCAGCAGGGTCACGGCCGCCCGGAGCCCTGCGCGATAAAGGGGAGATGGAGATGAGGCCAAAGCTCAACCCTTGACCCCAAATCCTGACCCTTGGCCCCAAACTGGGACCCTTGGAGTTCTTCATCCTCCTCCCCGGCGGGTCCTGTCCCTTTTACCAGCCGGCCACACCCAGTTTTGGGCCTTCAACCAATGAGGTTTCCCATCCCCATCTCCCCTTTTTCCCGCAGGGCTCCGGGTGGCCGTGACCCTGCTGGAGTCCGGGGGGGACCTCCAGCCCCCCGGGGGTTCCCTGCGCCTCCTCTGCAGAGGGTCCGGGTTCAACTTTGGGAAATTCGGGCTCGGCTGGGTTCGCCAGAGACCCGGGCAGGGGCTGGAGTGGGTCACAGAGATAGACAGTGATGGATACAACTGATACTCACCCGCGTTCAAAGGCTGGGTCACGATCTCCAGGGACAACGGGCAGAGCTCGGTGACGCTGACCATGAAGAACCTCAAGGACGAGGATTCCGGATCCTATTTCTGTGCCAAATCCTATTTCTGTGCTTATGGTGGTTGGATTGATGGTCCTGCTTCTGTTGAATGTTTAGATGGCATTGCCTGCCTCCTGTCCCCCCCGTCTCCATTCCCCAGAGCCTTCCCCCAAACGCCAACCCCTGACCCCATTCCTGACCTGTCACAGAGATTTTTTCATAAAATCCTTTCTTTTAGGATTTGTCCTTTCTGAGAAGCTGGGGCCCCAGAAGAAAAATGTAAACAATAATTATCTGCTGGTGTGGAATGTAGTAGGAGCATCTGTGATTGGTCTTCTGTGAGTGTTTCGATTTGCTGACCACTCAAGGGTGAGTTTGTCCTTGCTTTCTGCTGGACACAGAACTTTGTTATTTTCTTCTTTCCTATGCAATTCTTAGCTTAGCAGCCTCTTACACTTCTCTTTATTCCTTTTAGCATGGTTATAATGTGTCATATATCATATATCAATAAATGGAGCCTTCCGATCATGAACCAAGATTCTCGTCCACTTCTCTCACCCTGAAGACCTTCATCAGGTCGCTGTAATAGCTGACCGTGAACAACCTCAAGGACGACGATTCCAGATCTGATTTCTGTGCCAAATGAGTTACTAGTAGTTTTGGTGGTGGTGTTGCTGCCTTTAGTGACAATTCCGGCAGTGGTCCCACCCCCCATGGTGGTCACCAAACGTCTGCAATCCCCACAGATCCTTCCCCAAATCACAGATCTTCTCCTCAAATCTTCACCATTTTCCCCCAAAGTCTGCACCAGCTGCACCAACTGTCGACTTTCCCCCAGTTTTGGGCATTTCAGCCAAATCTCCCCCATCTCCCTGGGTCCACATTGGCTGAGCTGGCACGGGCAGAAATGGGAACTCTTAAAGAGCAAGACCTGAAGTGGAGGCCAGGGGCGAAGGTTCGGGGCCAATGGTTGAGCTCTGGAGCAGGAGCAGGGGAGGGTTTGGGGTCAGTGCTGACCATTGGTGCAAATGGGGAGAAAGGGTCAAGGGCTGGGTCAATGGCTGAGGTTTGGGGGAAGGGTCTGGGGTTGGGGACTGGGGGGTACTTGGGGACGGGGCTGGATCCACAACTGGCGTAGTCACAATAAGCAGCAGCATCGCCCCAATTCCAAGCAGCAGCAGATTTGGCACAGAAATAGGATCCGGAATCCTCGTCCTTGAGGTTGCTCATGGTCACCGAGCTCTGCCCGCTGTCCCTGGAGATCCTGAAACGACCCTGCACTGATGGCGCATAGGCGGTGTAAGCAACATCGTTCCTGATACCGGAGACCCATTCCAGCCCCTGCCCAGGTCTCTGGCGCATCCAGAGCAGTCCAAAATTCCCAAAATCGAACCCGGACCCTCGGCACAGAAACGTCAGGGACCCCCCGGGGGGCTGGAGGTCACCCCCGCACTCCAGCAGGGTCACGGCCGCCCGGAGTCCTGCGGGACAAAGGGGAGATCGGGATGAGGCCAGAGCTCAACCCTTGACCCAAATCCTGACTATTGGCCCTAAATTGGGATCTTTAGAGTTCATCATCCTCCCAGGAGGATTCTACCCCATTGTCGAGCTAGCCACACCCACTTGATGGCCCTTGACGAATCAGAGTTTTGATCTCCATCATCTTCCCTTTGTCCCGCAGTGCTCCGGGCGGCCGTGACCCTGCTGGAGTGCGGGGGGTACCTCCAGCCCCCCTGGGGATTCCCTGCGCCTCCTCTGCCGAGGGTCCGGGTTCAGTTTTGGACGAGCCAGTCTGATGTGGATCCGCCAGCGGCCTGGGCAGGGCCTGGAATACATTGCAGGGATTGACTATGATGGAGACACCGGATACCCGTCGTCGTTCAGTGGCCGAGACAGCATCTCTAGGGAAAACGGGCAGAGCTCAGTGACGCTGACCATGAACAACCTCAAGGACGAGGATTCCGGATCCTATTTCTGTGCCAAAACTCCTGAGAGTTATAATGCTGTTGTTGCTGGTCGCAGTGATGCTGCTGGTGCTGGTTATGGAGCATTTAGCCCCGCCCCCTTTGTGCATCCCTAATTGTCCCCATACCCCAGACCCTCCCCCCAAATCCCAGCGCTCGTCCCCACTGTCGGCGACTGAATTCGTGTCCCCAGCCCCGGGCCCAGCGCTGACCTTTGGGGCAGAGTTTGGGGGAAGATCAATGGCCAAGGGTTGGGGTTTGGGGCCGGAGAGGGGAAAGGGAAATGGAGAAATGGTCATGGGCCGGGTCAGGGGCTGGGAGCTGGGCAAGGGGCTGGGGAACGGGGACAGGTGGGGATGCAGTGATGGGGATGGGGTCAAACAGCAGCACCCCAACCAGCACCGACAGTTTTTGTGCAGAAATAGGATCCGGAATCCTCGTCCTGCAGGTTGGTCATGGTCAGGGTTATGAAGCTCTGCCCGTTGTCCCTGGAGATCCTGAACTGGCCATTGACCAATGGCACGTAGCCGGTGCTGGAACCGCCCTTGTTGATTCCCGCGACCCTTTGCAGCCCCTGCCCGGTTCTCTGGCGGATCCAATCCATTCCAGAATTGCCAAAGTCGAATCCAGAGGCTCGGCAACGGAGGAGGAGAGCCCCACCGGCGGGCTGGAGATCCCCTCCGCACTCCAGCAGGGTCACGGCCGCCCGGAGCCCTGCGGGACAAAGGGGAGATGGGACGAGAAACCTGATTGGCTGTGGGCCCTTAGTGGGTGTGGGCAGCTGGAATAAGGGATGAGACCCACCTGGGAGGGTGACGAGGAGCAGGAGGAGAAGAACAAATTGTCACAACCTGCGGCCAATAGTTGGGATTTTAGGTTCAAGGGTTGAGCCTTGGCCTCATCCCCATCTCCCCTTTGTCCCGCAGGGCTCCGGGCGGCCGTGACCCTGCTGGAGTGCGGGGGGGACCTCCAGCCCCCCGGGGGGTCCCTGCGCCTCCTCTGCCGAGGGTCCGGGTTCAGTTTCCGGAATTTTGGGATGGGCTGGATCCGCCAGAGACCCGGGCTGGGGCTGGAATGGGTTGCAGGGCTCAGCTGGGGTGGTTCCTACACCTACTATGCAGGGCCGGGTCACGATCTCCAGGGACAACGGGCAGAGCTCGGTGACACTGACCATGAACAACCTCAAGGATGAGGATTCCGCATCCTATTTCCGTACCAAGGATTCTTATGGTGGCTGGAATGCCGCCCATGGCATTGGTTTCACTCCCGGTTGTTGGGTTGGTGTTTGGGGTTTCAGCCCCATCCCCGTCCCCAGCTGTCCCCAGACCCTTCCTCAAACCCCCCTGTTCCACCCCTGACCTTTTGCCCCAGTCCCGCCCCCTTTGCCCCAAGGCTGCTCATTGGCCTAAAACCCTGCCCTGGGTCTGGCCCCAAACTCAACTCTCGGCCCCAAATCTCCACCTCGTGCCCCAAAAGTGCCCAAAGGGCTGAGATTTGGGGACAGCGGGTGAGGTTTGGGTCAGGGCTGCGGCTGGGAGCCCAAAGTGGGGATTTGGGGCAGAATCAGGCGAGTTTTGGGGCCAAAGCAGGTGGGTTTGGGACAGAACCAGTTTGGGGGTTTTGGCTCTGTGCTTGGTGTTTGACGGGGGCATGGTTCTGGGCAAACTGTCCAAGGGTGAGGAGGAGAATTCTAAGATTAGGGAAAAACGATAAAAACTGAGGGGAAGTGCAGAGTTGGGGCAGCAATGGCAGAAGTTAGGTGAAAATGACGGAGATTTGGGGGAAAAGGCTGGGATTTGGGGAGGGATCAGAGAATTCTGTGGTACTTGGGCACAGAGAGGAGAGGGCCTGGGACCACAGCCACCAACACCATGATCACCAAAAGCAAAAGCATCATAATCACAACTACTGCCGGCACATTTGGCGCAGAAATAGGATCCGGAATCCTCGTCCTTGAGGTTGTTCATGGTCAGCCTCACCGAGCTCCTCCCATTGTCCCTGGAGATCGTGAGCCGGCCCTTGACCGATGGCGCGTAGCCGGTGTTGGAACCACTGCTCCAGATCCCTGCGACGAATTCCAGCCCCTGCCGGGGTCTCTGGCAGGTCCAGAACATTCCATAATCGCCAAAACTTTACCCGGACCCTCAGCAGAGGAGGCGGAGGGACACCCCGGGGGGCTGGAGGTCCCCCCCGCACTCCAGCAGGGTCACGGCTGCCCGGAGCCCTGCGGGACAAAGGGGAGATGGGGATGAGAAACCTGATTCGTTCAGGGCCTAAGAGTGGGCTTAGCCAGGTGGAAAAAGGGGCAGGACCCACCTGGGAGGAGGATGATGAACTCCAAGGGTCTCAGTTTGGGTCCCAGAGTCAGGACTTGGGTAAAGGGTTGAGCTTTGGTCCCATCCCCATCTCCCCTTTGTCCCGCAGGGCTCCGGGTGGCCGTGACCCTGCTGGAGTGCGGGGGGGACCTCCAGCCCCCCAGGGGGTCCCTGTGCCTCCTCTGCCGAGGGTCCGGGTTCAGTTTCAGCAGTTTCACCATGTACTGGGTGCGTCAGAGATCCGGGCAGGGGCTGGAGTGGCTCGCAGGGATCAGCAGCAGTGGTTCCAACACCATCTACGCGCCATCGTCAAGGGCCGGTTCACGACCTCCAGGGACAACGGGTAGAGCTCGGTGACGCTGACCATGAACAGCCTCAAGGACGAGGATTCCGGATCCTATTTCTGTGCCAAGGGTGCTGATAGTGGTTACCAAAATCAGGCTGCTGCTTATCGTGTCGCCCTGTCCATGCCCCCAGGTTCCCCTCCCTTGTCCCCATTCCCCAGGCCCTTCCCCCAGTCCCCTGCCCCTGACCCAATTCCTGTCCCCGTGTCCCAGCCCTGAACTGGCTCTGCCCCAAATCTCCCCCATTCTCCCCCAAACTCCCAACTCTCGGCCCCACCCCTTCACCCTTGGTGCCAATTGTTGTGCCAAACCCTCCCGTTTCGGTGCCCGCAGCGTGGGTTTTGGGCCAGGGGTGCAGATTTGTGGCTGCTCCAGAGGGATTTTCAGGCCCCCGGTCACAAGGGAATGGACCAGAAATCTGGGGTGAAAGGCCGAGGTTTGGGGGATGGTTCTGGACAAACAGCCCCAGGGTGAGGGGAAGTGCGAGATTTGGGGGAAATGGGCAAAACTGGGGGGAAAATCATGAGTTGTGGAAGCTGGGGTGGAGTTTAGGGAAAAATGGGGAGGATTTGAGTCTAAAAGCTGGGATATAGGGGAAGGATCTCTGTGATTGGAGAAATTTGGTGACCATCAGGGTCACCACTAGAAATGACAGCAAAAAGAGCAGCAGCATCACCACCAGCATAACCATTGTCACGTTTGGCACAGAAATAGGATCCGGAATCGTCGTCCTTGAGGTTGTTCATGGTCAGCGTCACTGAGCTCTGCCCATTGTCCCTGGAGATCCTGAACTGGCCCTGCACCGATGGAGCGTACCAGGCGTGGGCACCGCTAGCGTCGATCAGCGCCAGCCATTCCAGCACCTGCCCGGGCCTCTGGCGGGTCCAGGTGATGGAGTGAGCCCCGAAACTGAACCCGGACGCTCGGCAGAGGCGGCGCAGGGACCCCACGGGGGGCTGGAGGTACCCCCCGCACTCCAGCAGGGTCACGGCCTCCTGGAGCCCTGCGGGACAAAGGGGAGATGGGGATGAGGCCAAAGCTCAACCCTTGACCCAAATCCTGACTCTTGGCCACAAACTGGGACCCTTGGAGTTCACCATACTCCTCCTGCGGCACCTGCTGGCCCTCCCAGGTGGATCGCACACTCTTTTTCCTGCATGGCGGTGCCCACTTTGGGTCCACAGACAATCCATCCCATCATCTTCATCTCCCCTTTGTCCCGCAGGGCTCCGGGCGGCCGTGACCCTGCTGGAGTTGGGGGGGGGACCTCCAACCCCCCGGGGGGTCCCTGCGCCTCTTCTGCCGAGGGTCCAGGTTCGATTTCGGGTATTTTGAAATGTATTGGGTCCGCCAGAGACCCGGGCAGGGGCTGGAGTGGCTCGCGAGTATCAACATCAAAGGACGTTACATCTACTACGCGCCATCGGTCAAGGGTTGGTTCAGGATCTCCAGGGACAACGGGCAGAGCTCGGTGACGCTGATCATGAACAACCTCAAGGACGAGGATTCCGGATCCTATTTCTGTGGGATATTTGCTTATACTGGTGGTACTTATGGTGCTGGTGCTATTGATGTGCCCGGTATGGCCCCACCCCCGACCAGCACTGTTGGACCATCAGGGCTCAGGACGGTCGGGACAGACGGACGGACACGAGGGATCTCTGCAGCCAGGTTGTGGCATTTGGGGTTTATTGCAAAGGACGAACTGCAGGGCCCTGCTGGGAGCTGCCAGGCACAGCTGGAGCAGGGCTGAGAGAAGAGAGGGGAGAGAGGATGAGAGGGTGAGAGAGTAAGAGAGTAAAAAAGGTAAATGAGTGAAAGGGTGAGAGAATAAAAAGGGTAAGAGAGTGAAAGAGTCAGTGAATAAAATGGTAGGAGTGTAAAAGGGTAAGAACATAAAACACTAAGAGCATAAAAGGGTAAGAGAGTGAGGTTCCCACCACAATAAAATAAATCTTCTTCTCTGTAGAATATTCTAATTCTCAGTGACCAATCTGGTCCAATATACAAACCCTACAGCATTTACACACAGCCTATAAGAATCGTTTCATTACCATACTCTAGTACATATTAAACCCTAAAAACTCCTCTTTAGGGTAACTTTAAACCCTAAAAACTACACTTTGGGCCCTTCTGCCGAGCTGTAGGGTCTGCTGTGACCCTTGGAGCTGTCTGCAAGTAGAGGGTGTTGTTCCATCAAAAGGGATCACCTACAGCCGGCCACGCCATTGTTTTCCTGTTGTTCAGTAACAGAGGGATCTCAAAGCTTGCTTTCATTTCCACCTTGCTGATGGTTTCCATATTCTCAAAATCTTTTGCCAGGCAATCACATTGATAAGTCTTTCCTGTTCCATCCTCCCCAAACAGCATCAGCATAAGCACCGTGACAATCGGTGTCCTTGGCGCAGAAATAGGATCCAGAATCCTCGTCCTTGAGGTTGTTCATGGTCAGCGTCACCGAGCTCTGCCCGTTGTCCCTGGAGATCCTGAACCGGCCCTTGACGGAATCCGCGTACCAGGTGACGCCACCACTGCTGGTGATGGTTCCGACCCACTGCAGCCCCTGCCCGGGTCTATGGCGGATCCAGGGCATCCCAAAATTGCCAAAATGGAACCCGCACCCTCGGCACAAAAACGTCAGGGACCCTCCGGGGGGCTGGAGGTCCCCCCCGAACTCCAGCAGGGTCACGGCCACCCGGAGCCCTGCGGGACAAAGGGGAGATGGGGATGAGGCGATGCAAAAGTCAGGCAGAGGTGTCCAAGTAATTAATGGGTGGATTGGGGCTAATTGCAGGGTTTAAGGCACTTTACCATTCAGGATACCTCTGTTGGATGTTTGGTGACAAACAAAGGGAATTTGGGGCAAAACCGGTAAGGGTTAGGGCATGGGGGTGCAGCCGTGACCCTGCTGGTGTGCGGGGGGGACCTCCAGGCCCCCGGGGGGTCCCTACGCCTCCTCTGCCGAGGGTCCAGGTTCGATTTTGGCCAATTTTGGGATGGGCTGGATGCGCCAGAGACCCGGGCAGGGCTGGAGTGGATTGCAGCGATCTGGAGCAATGGTGCCACCTCCAACGCGCCGTCGGTGCAGGGTCGGTTCACGATCTCCAGGGACAACAGGCAGAGCTCGGTGACGCTGACCATGAAAAACCTCAAGGACGAGGATTCCGGATCCTATTTCTGTGCCAAGGATGCTGATGGTTATGGTGCTGCTCCTAATGCTGGTTGGAGATGGGGTGACCTTCACTGTCAGTATAACCAGAACCATAGTTATAGTAACCAGGAGCAGATCTGGCGCAGAAATAGGATCCAGAATCCTCGTCCTTGAGGTTGGTCATGGTCAGGGACATGGAGTTCTGCCTGTTGTCCCTGGAGATCGTGAACCGGCCCTGCACCGAATCCGCGTAGAAGGTGTAACCCCCACTGCCGCAGTAGATGCTGGCGATGAATTCTAGCCCATGCCCGGGTCTCTGCCGGATCCAGAACAGGTTAAATTTGTCAAAATCAAACCCAGACCCCAGGCAGAGGAGGATCAGGGACCCCCCGGGGGGCTGGAGGTCCCACCCGCACTCCAGCAGGGTCACGGCCGCCCGGAGCCCTGCGGGACAAAGGGGAGATGGGGATGGGAAACCTGATTGGTCGAGGGCCTCAAAGCAGGTGTGGCAACCTGGAGAAAGGGACTGGACCCTCCTGGGAGGAGGATGATGAACTCCAAGGGACCCAATGTGGGGCCAAGAGCCAGGATTTGGATCAACGGTTGAGCTTTTCCATCCCCTTTGTCCCGCAAGGCTCCGGGCGGTCGTGACCCTGCTGGAGTGTGGGGGGGACCTCCAGCCCTCCGGGGGGTCCCTGATCCTCCTCTGCTGAGGGTCTGGGTTCAGTTTCGGCAGTTTTGGGTTGGGCTGGTATCGGCAGAGACGCAGGCAGGGGCTGGAGTTCATAGCACAGATATGCACTGGTGGCACCACCCACTATGGAGATTCGGTCAAGGGCCGGGTCACGATCTCCGGGGACAACGGGCAGAGCTCGGTGATGCTGATCATGAACAACCTCAAGGACGAGGATTCCGCCATCTATTTCTGTGCCAAATATTCCTATGGTGGCTGGAATGCCGCCCATGCCATTGGTTTCACTCCTGGTGGTTGGGTTGCTGTTTGGGGTTTCAGCCCCGTCCCTGTCCCCTGCTTTTCCCAGACCCTTCCCCAAACCCCCCTGTGCCACCCCTGACCCTTTGTCCCAGCCCCGCCCCCTTTGCCCCAATGCTGCCCAGTGGCCCCAAACCGTGCCCTGGCTCTGGCCCCAAACTCAACTCCTGTCTCCAAATCTCCCCCTCGTGCCCCAAAAGTGCCCAAAGGGCCGAGATTTGAGGACAGTGGGTGAGGTTTGGGCCAGCGGCTATGGCTGGGAGCCCAGAGTGGGGATTTGGGGCAGAATCTGGTGTGTTTTGGTGCCAAAGCAGGAGGGTTTTTGGCAGAACCGGTTTGGGCATTTTAGGTCTTTGGTCACTATTGGGGGAAATGGGGGAGACCAGGACCAAGGGGTAAGAATGAGGTCAAGGGCTGAGATTTGGGTAAAAGTTCTGAGATTTGGGGACAAGAAGGGCTCAGGCAAGGGCGCTGCCACCACCGGCACGGACAATATAAGCAGCAGCAGCAGCCCAAGCAGCACCAGCAGCTTTGGCACAGAAATGGGATCCGGAATCCTCGAACTTGAGGTTGTTCATGGTCAGCGTCACCGAGCTCTACCCGTTGTCCCTGGAGATCCTGAACCGGCCCTTGTCCGACGGTGCGTACCAGGTGCTGGAACCATCGCCCCTGATGTAGGCGACGAATTCCAGCCCCTGCCCGGGTCTCTGGCGCACCCACTGCATGGCAAAACTGCCGAAACTGAATCCGGACCCTCGGCAGAAAAGGCGCAGGGACCCCCCGGGGGGCTGGAGGTCCCCCCCGCACTCCAGCAGGGTCACGGCTGCCCAGAGCCCTGCGGGACAAAGGGGGAATGGGGATGAGAAACCTGATTGGCTGAGGGCCTCAAAGTGGGCGTAGACAGCTGGGAAAATGGGGTGCACCCACATAGGCTAGATACCATGAGCAGGAGGAAAAGGAAAAAATGTTAAATTTGAGGGCAAAATTAATAATGGTGGGGCCAATGTTTTAGCTTTGGCCTCATTCCCATCTCCCCTTTGTCCCGCAGGGCTCCGGGCGGCCGTGACCCTGCTGGAGTCCGGGGGGACCTCCAGACACCGGGGAGTTCCTGATGTTGCTGTGCCCAGGGTCCGGGTTCGATTTTGGGAGTTGTCACATGCTTTGGATCCGTCAGAGACCCAGGCAGGGGCTGGAGTGGCTCGCCAGGATCAGCAGCAGTGGTTCCAACACCGTCTAAGTGCCATCGGTCAAGGGCCGGTTCACGATCTCCAGGGACAATGGGCAGAGCTCGGTGACGCTGACCATGAACAACCTCAAGGACGAGGATTCCGGATCCTATTTCTGTGCCAAACATGCTTATGCTGATAATGTGGGTCCTGGTGCTAATTTAGATGACACCCATAGTGGATCCAAGCCCAAATCTCAGTGCCCTCACCTGTGTCCAATCCCCAGACCCTTCCCCTAGGTCTTAGCCCTTCACCACATTCTTACCCTTTTGTCCCAGATCTCCCCCTGTTCCACAACACCAACCATGGAGCCAAAACCCCCAAACTGGTTCTGCCCCAAATCCAACTAAGTTTGCACCAAAATCGCCCGATTCTGCCCCATATCCCCACTCTGGGTCCCAGCAACAGCTGCTGACATAAATCCTCAAGCTTTGTCTCCAAATCGGGACCCTGGACCTCAAACCCCGACCTTCAGAGCAAAGTTTTGGGGCACAAAGTGGAGATTTGGCGTCAGGAGTTGTGGTTTGGGGTCAGCGAGTGAGAATTGGGGCTTAGGCAGAGCAAGGTTGGGATCAATGGTCAAGGGCTGGGTGTGGGCTGGGGGTTTGGGGGAAGGGTCTGGGGAGCGGGGACAGGGGGGGATTAGGAGATGGGGATGGGGTCAAAATGTCCAGCACCAGCATAACCATCATAGCAACCAGCATCATAACATTTGTCACAGAAATGGGATCCGGAACCCTCGTCCTTGAGGTTGTTCATGGTCAGCGTCACCGAGCTCTGCCCGTTGTCCCTGGAGATCCTGAACCGCCCTTGACTGAAGGTGCGTAGCTGGTGCGGCCACCACTGCTGCTGATACTAGCGATGTATTCCAAACCTTGCCAGGTTTTCTAGCAGATCCAGAACATTCCATAACTCCCGAAATCGAACCCGGACCCTCGGCTGAGGAGGTGAAGGGACCACCCGGGGGGCTGGAGGTCCCCCCCGCACTACAGCAGGGTCACGGCTGCCCGGAGCCCTGCGGGACAAAGGGAAGATGGGGATGGGGCCAAAGCTCAACCCTTGAACCAAATCCTGACCCTTTGCCCCAAACTGGGACCCTTGGAGTTCATCATCCTCCTCCAAAGCTTTCCCCTCCCAGTTTGTGGCCCTGGACCAATCAGGGTCCTCATCCCCATCTCCCCTTTGTCCCGCAGGCCTCTGGGAAGCCGTGACCCTGCTGGAGTGCAGGGGGGACCTCCAGCCCCTGGGGGTTCCCTGCGCCTCCTCTGCCGAGGGTCCGGGTTCAGTTTCGGGAGTTTTGGAATGAGCTGTGTCCACCAGAGACCCGGGAAGGGTTTGGAATACGTCGCGGGGATCCATAGCAGTGGCAGCACCGACTACGCGCCATCGTTCAGGGGCCGGGTCAGGATCTCCGGGGACAACGGGCAGAGCTCGGTGACGCTGACTATGAACAACCTCAAGGACGAGGATTCCGGATCCTATTTCTGTGCCAAGGGTTTTCCTGCTTATGCTGGTGATAACGGTGCCTGCTGTATTGACCCCTTCCCCATTGCTTTGTCCCCCCCTGTCCCCATTCCCCAGACCCTTCCCCAGCTCCCAGCCCCTGACCCCGCCCGTGACCATTTCTCCATTTCCCTTTCCCATCTCCGGCCCCAAACCCCAACCCTTGGCCGTTGATCTTCCCCCTAACTCTGCCCCAAAAGTCAGCGCTGGGCCTGGGGCTGGGGACACGAATTCAGTCACCGAGTGTGGGGACGAGGGCGTGGATTTGGAGGAGGGTCTGGGGAATGGGGACATTTGGGGACACAACGATGGGGGTGGAGTCAATAGCATTGGCATCATGGTCATCGCCATCCGCCCCAGCGGCTTTGGCACAGAAATAGGATCCGGAATCCTCGTCCTGCAGGTCGATCATGGTCAGGGCTGTGAAGTTCTGCCCATTGTCCCTGGAGATCCTGAACCGGCCCTTGACCGATGGGGCATAGTAGGAGAAACCCCCAGATCTGTGGATCCCCGCGAGCCATTCCAGCCCCTGCCCGGGGCTCTGGCGTATCCAGAGCATGGAGTGACCCCCAAAACTGAACCTGGACCCTCGGCACAGCAACGTCAGGGACCCCCCGAGGGACTGGAGGTCCCCCCCGCACTCCAGCAGGGTCACGGCCGCCCGGAGCCCTGCGGGATAAAGGGGAGATTGGGATGGGAAACCTGATTGTTTCAGGGCCGCAAACTGGGAGGGTCAAGCTTGATAAAGTATCGAGTCCTAGCTGTGAGGAGGGTGATGAACTATAAGGGTCCCAATTTGGGGCCAAGAGTCAGGATTTGGGTCAAGGTTTGAGCTTTTGCCTCATCCCCATCTCCCCTTTGTCCCGCAGGGATCCAGGCAGCCGTGAACCTGCTGGAGTGCGGGGGGCACCTTCAGTCCCCCGCGGGGTCCCTGCGCCTCCTCTGCCGAGGGTCCGGGTTCAGTTTTTGCAGTTTCACCCTCTTCTGGATCCGCCAGAGACCTGGGCAGGGGCTGGAATACATTGGAGTGATCAACGGTAGTGGCAGCACCTGGTACGCGCCATCGGTCAAGGGCTGGGTCACGATCTCCAGGGACAAGGGGCAGAGCTTGGTGACGCTGACCATGAACAACCTCAAGGACGAGGATTCCGGATCCTTTTTCTGCTCCAAACGTCCTGATGCTCGTGGTGGTGGTTATAGTGTTGATGCTATTGAGCAGCTATTGGGGACCCCCATCTCCCCAATTCCCAACCCCAGACCCCACTCCTGACCCTTTGTCCCAACCTTGTCCTGCTCTGGCCCCAAATCTCAGCTCCTGGCCCCAAATCTTGGCCCCAAGGAGCGGCATGGACAGGAAGGTCATTCGGCCTTTTTGCCTGGCACAGGTAAGGCGACACCTCCTAGGCTGTGCCCAGCTCCGGCCCCTCAGGTTGGGCCGGACCTGGGGGAAATTTCAGTTGGAAATCAGGAAAAAGTTTTTCATTAAAAGAGTCAAAAGGAATTGGATTGGTTTGCCCCGGGGAGGGGGTGGAATCACCAACCATGGGTGAGCTCAACAAAGCCTGGAGGTCGCCCTGGGTCCCAGAGATGAGCAGCTGGGGCTGCGTTGGACTTAAGGGTCTTGAAGGTGTCTTCCAACCTGTGAATTCTGTGAGTTGTGTGAATTGTGTGAATTCTGTGAATTTGGACACACAGTTTTGGAGAATGAGAACAAACCCTGAAGAATAGAGTAAGGGGTGGAGCGTTGAAGGGACGACCTGGGGAGGAGCAAAGGTGGGGTCCCAGCCATGGGGGTCGGATGGAGGCCAAAACCATGAGCACCAAAACCAGCCCAAGCACCAAAATGTTTGGCACAGAAATAGGATCCGGAATCCTCGTCCTTGAGGTTGTTCATGGTCAGCGTCACCGAGCTCTGCCTGTTGTCCCTGGAGATCCTGAACCGACCCTGCACCGACGGTGAGTATTTGGTGCTGCCACTGCTGCTGATCCCTGCCAGGAATTGCAGCCCCTGCCCGGGGCTCTGGCGGATCCAGTGCATGTCAGAACTGCCAAAACTGAACCCGGACCCTCGGCAGAGGAGGCGCAGGGACCCCCCGGGGGGCTGGAGTTCCCTCCCGGACTCCAGCAGGGTCACAGCCGACCGGAGCCCTGCGGGAAAAAGGGGAGATGGGGATGAGGGGATGGATTGGCTGTGCGGTCAAAGTGGGCACTGCCATTCCAGAAAAAGGGTGTGGGATCCACCTGGGAGGGCCAGCAGGTGCTGCAGGAAGAGGATGGGGAGGTCCAAGGGTCCCAATTTGTGGCCAACATCAGGGTCTGTGTGCAAGAATCAACATTTTGCTTGATTTTTTTCCCCATCCCCATCTCCCCTTTGTCCCTCAGGGCTCCGGGCGGCCGTGACCCTGCTGGAGTGCGGGGGGACCTCCAGCCCCCCGGGGGGTCCCTGACGTTGCTGTGCCGCGCATCTGGGTTCAATTTCGGGCGTCAGTCCATGAGCTGGGCTCGACAGAGGCCTGGGCAGGGGCTGGAGTGGCTCGCAGGAATCGATAACACTGGTGGTTTCACCTTCTATGCACCGTCGGTCAAGGGCCGGTTCACGATCTCCAGGGACATCGGGCAGAGCTCGGTGACGCTGACCATGAACAACCTCAAGGACGAGGATTCTGGATCCTATTTCTGTGCCAAGGGTTATTATAACAATGCTGCTGCTAGAGACGCCTGTGGTATTGTCCCCATCCCTGTCCCTGTGTCCCCCCCTGTCCCCGTTCCCCAGACCCTTCCCCCAATCCCCTGCCCCTGACCCCATTCCTGTCCCTGTGTCCCAGCTCTGAACTGGTTTTGCCCCAATCTCAGCTCTTGGCCCCAAACCTCAGCTCTGGGCTCCACGTCCCAACCAAATTCCCCAAAACTGACGGGGATGTCCCGATCTGGCCCCACCGTGTCAATCTGCCCTTGCTTTCTGCGATTGGCCACAAACCTCTTGCGGTGAGCTGTGCCATCGAGCTCTGTGTGTGCTGCCGGGGCCGTGACCCCGCCGGCACCTCCCCATGGCCACGGCCCAGTGAGGAGAGCGATGGTGGGAAACCAAACGGCTCCAGAGGGGTCCCCAGAATCCCGTCCCAGTGGGGAGTGGGACAGAGACCTCCAGAAGGGGATGGGCCTAGGGCTGAGGATTGGGGGAATTGTTGGGGATTTGGGGACAGGTGGGGACACTGATATGGGGGCGTGGATCCACCACTGGGGTCTTCACCATAAGCAGCAGCATTCCAGCTATAAGCATCAGCACCCTTGGCACAGAAATAGGACCCAGAATCCTCGTCCTTGAGGTTGTTCATGGTCAGCGTCACCGAGCTCTGCCCATTGTCCCTGGAGATCGTGAACCGGCGATTGACCGATGCGCGTAGTAGGTGGTGCCACCATTGCTGTAGATGCTCGTGAGCCACTCCAGCCCCTGCCCGGGTCTCTGGCGGACCCAGTACATGGGGTAACTCCCAAAACTGAACCCGGAGCCTCGGCAGAGGAGGCGCAGGGACTCCCCGGGGGGCTGGAGGTCCCCCCCGCACTCCAGCAGGGTCACGGCCACCCAGAGCCCTGCGGGACAAAGGGGAGATCGCGATGAGAAACCTGATTGGCTGTGGGCCTGCAGTGGGTGTGGCAAGCTGGAAAAAGGGATGAGACCCACCTGGGAGGGTGACCAGGAGGAGAAGGACAAATTGTAACAACCTGGGGCCAATAGCTGGGATTTTGGGGTCAAGGTTTGAGCTTTGGCCGTCCCCATCTCTGTTGGGATGGGCAGGAGAAATG